TCATTTTTAAAGTAGCAAATGATGGTAAAGTCAAAATTTATTTATATTATTTAGAAAAGAAAAATTCCCTTAATGCGCACTTTATGTACGACACTGTAAATTAAGATAAAAGTATAATACATTTTTCGGTGTCAACAACTTTATTCTCCATCACAATTTTATAGTGCTTAGTAATAACAACCTAGGCAGTTGAATTTGTAAAGAAAAATATCTTGAGCCTATGATATAATCTCCGTTGCAAAAGTATCCATGTCTGAAAACGTCCATATATCGTAATAGTAATTCTGTAAGCGGCATACGCATTCAGCCTCCAGCGGCTGAAGGTGCCGGGATACAGAAATTACGTCCATCAGAGCTGGGGAGGATTCGAATCACATAGGATTCGAATCCTTTTTGAGGATCCGAGAGCGGGATTCGAATACTTTAGAAAAAAAGGATCCGTGATCCGGATTCGCAGAGAAAATCCTAAAGGATTCGTATTCGAATCATCAATATCAGTCTCGGATCCTTTTAGAGACCAAACTACGCCGGCGCGAACGACCGACTCAAGCTTTGACTTGTCGCGAATTGTAAACTAAAACAGACTGAGACTGAATAGAAAACCGATGTGTTTGGCGTTGTGCACGATTACAGAATTAACAAATAATCTGATATAGATCCTCAATACAGATAAGTGAAGAAAAATTCTGTATCCACATCCACATGTAGGTATATTATTTATTTTTCTAATTTTTGCACGATATACAATATAAATATGTGGGCGATATTAGTCTATTGAACGAATATAATATATAATTATATCCATTCTATGTTTTCTATCAATTACAATTCATTACTTAATGTCAAGTTGACTATTTTTTTTATTATTTAAAATGAGTTTTAGTTATTAGTATAAAATATAATTAAAAATTAGTGATTCTTGTGAAAAATCGATAAATAACGGCAATCAACTAGAGTTTTTTTATATTTACAAGGAAACTTAAGTAACGTTTAAACAATTTTTATACTTATACGAGTATGTAGTTAGTGGAGCGCGTCACTTAGGTAATCGCCTATATGCTAAATGTGACAGCCAGCTTCGTTTTTCAGCTTCAAGTTTTAAATGTTTTTATTTATTTACGGGTCAAACCTCATTTTACAGAATTGTATAACAAAGTTTGTCCTTGTTTAGTTAATATCCATTGTTGCAATTTAGATCTATAAAGACCTATCGAATTCATGTTTTTAAATTCCACCGGAAGTGCGTTAAATATTTTAGGACAGAGATATAAAACAGTATTAGATTCGAAAGCAAATATAATACCACAGTATAACACTGACAGTGATTCGTATCCGTGATCCGAAAAAAAGGATTCGAATCACTTGATTCGAATCCTTTTTTTTTAAGGATTCGAACATTGGATCCGTGATTCGAATCACATCTCGTGATTCGGATTCGTGATTCGAATCCATTTTTCGAGGATTCGTCCCAGCTCTGACGTCCATATATCGTAATAGTAATTCTGTATGCGGCATACGCATTCAGCCTCCAGCGGCTGAAGGTGCCGGGATACAGAAATTACGTATCGCGATACTGTATGCGTCTCCCGTACCGTGTGAATAGGTCCATTTGAATGTATATTCAACATGAATCTCGAATACGCATATCTCGCATATATTATCCTCGTCTGAAAGAGGTCTTATAACTCAATCCTATGACTAGTTTTACAGGGTGTTAAAGTTGAAAATTGGTAATTTTTAAAAATGGACGGTGCATCTTAATTGTTTTATACATGATTTCTCTAAAATGGACTGTAATGGAAAAATTTGAGGAACAGTGTAAAATTTTTCAGTATTTTCGTTGGCAATGAATATATTTATATAAAAAAACGTTTCGAGTAAGATGTGTAAGGAAAATGTATATATTTAGTTCATCATCTAAATATTTACAGGGTGATACCATATGTTATCTTCAAAATAACTAGAAAAAGCGTGTAATAACTAGACAGGAAAGTCATGTGTTGGATACATCATTTTGTTTTAAAAATATCTATCTCTGAAGATTAATTAGGTTACTATCTATTTAATGTATGAACATACATACCACAAGGTATTTAATATCATTTAAGACCAATATAAGTATATACAGGGTGAATCCTAAGTTGATATTTTTTTTAACTGTGTATAGGTCATTAAAATAAACTTTTTCAAAACAAATCAAAAATAGGAAAAATATAAAATTTAAATCCGAGTCTGGAGTGTTCCAAGCATCTTCTAGGCGGAAATTCACGTCATTGAGAAGTGTGTCCAGTTTAACATCGAAAGAAAGTATCGTAGACAAGAGATTATCATCATGTCCGACATCCAAGCAACCATCAAAGCCCTGAGCCCTTTTTGTGGGACCTGATACCTGATCCGTTCTGAGGTATCAGCAGTAACACAATATTAGGAGAGATTTAAAAAGAATTGGGCAGTAGAAGAACCGATAATTGGAACAATCTCTTGGGGCTAAGATACTTCTGGGTGAATATAACCAGAAAAGATCGGAAGCCTGTAGCACGACCAAGCTACATATTGTAACAGGGATCCTTACTGGGTATTGCCGACTAAAAGGACACCTTACTAAACTGAGAGTAGTAGAAGCTAGTGAGTGCAGATTCTGCGAGGAGGACGAAACTTCCATTCACATTCTAACTGAATGTATAGCACTCCAGAATTCAAGCAGGGCACTATACCTAGGAGCATATCAAATAGAAGAGGGAGATTTATCTAACTTAAAGCCACTCCAAATCCTACACTTCCTTGAGAAGATAGGATTGGAAGAGTCGCTATAGGCATTGAAACATTTCCTTGCTGCATTGGCGATAGAAGGGGGTACAATAGATCATTTAAGTCGCAGTATATTAACACATCATTTTCAACATAACATACTGTGCATTGCCGACTCAAAGGACACCTTAGTAAAATGAGAGTAGTAGAAGATAGTGAGTGCAGATTCTGTGAGGAGGAGGACGAAACCTCCATTCACGTTCTGACTGAATGTGTAGCACTCCAGAATCTAGATATATAGATTGTATAAATCTTGCTTTATCTATCCTTTTTAATTTCCATGCGTTCCAGATCAGATTTGAAACCAACGAGAGTACCATTAGTAAAAATTAGTAAGAACTTTAAAACAAAGCGGACAAATTTATATTTTGGGACAAACGTCTTCTTAATTGAAACTCAATAATAAAGCTGAATTGGCAATCACAGCAATTGCTTGACAACTAGCAAACTGATACTGAGAAAATGTCGACACAATCGACGTAGTTCTGCTACTCGACCTGTCGAACAATTTGAGTCGCAAAACTGTTTTCTATTCAGTGTGTTAAATACTAAAACAAATTTTCTCGAATTAAAAAGAAAATAAATACTATCTCACAAGAATAATCAATATGCAAAGTTCCAAGGCCCACTTTATAGTGAATAAAATTTGTTGTTAAACCAGCGTGTTTCAATCTGAGGTTTCAATATCTATTGATTTTGTATTATTGTAAGAAAAATATTCAACTGCTTCAAATATAAATGATTCATAAAAATTGATCTACAATGCATGGTGTTATGGATTAATAAAAGTGGACTACTAAGGATTTATCATAAACAATCTAAACTTGAACATTTAATTTATTTATATTTGATTCAACTTGTGTTTTAACAAAATACGCTTTCTTCAAAAGTACAAAGCTTGTCTTATTTTCCCGCGCACGTTATTGCATCAAAAAACTTCGTTTTTCTAGACTTAAAACGTTAAATTATGATATAATTATATTATTCATCAAAAATATTACAAAGCATTTACATGAAAAGGGTAAAGGCCCGAGAAAATAAAAAATGCCAAATCGAAAAAGAAACTAATTTAATAGGTTATGTTTATATTCATTGTCAGAAAAGTGACTAATTAACTACCCAACTAAACATATATATTTTTGAATTAGAACTCCAAATTTATGAAAAAAATAACTTTAATATTAACTCAATATTATACAATGTGTTCCATAAAGTTGGATCCATGTGGGAATTTTTTAATATGATTGGAAAAAACGTCGGCCATTCACTTCTGCTTTTTAAAATAGCTCATATTAGAGTTGGCTAGGTATCTGTCAAATTCGGTATTTTTTTAAAAATATAAATCAAAACATTTTTTTTTTTTAATGCGAATTTAACAGAAAACTATTGTCAGTAGCAAACTTTGCTATGGTCTATTTTAAGTCTTTAAATATGCAGAGATGATTGCCCTGTGACGTTTTCTTTTCCAATCGTAATATTAAAAAAAAATCACAATGGATCCAACTTTATGGTACATAATATATTGTATATCATGGATGCATAACATAAAATATTAAGAAATAAAATTCTAGTAAAACAACATACTGTGTTGCGCGAAAGTCCGGAATAAAATTATTATCTGTTCAACCAGTAACTTAAAAAAAAAGCTGAAACAAGTGAATTGATTTTACATTGGACGTATTTGTTGCCAATGTAACCCCTTAGCTGCAACCCTACCCAACTTTTTTTTTCAAATGCAAAGGTATGTCGAGTAAACGAAAAAAAAAGGGTATCGTGAGATTCCATTTTTCACGAGCTTTTCAAAGACCCTACACACTTTTGCATTTGAAAAAAAATGTTGTGTAGGGTTGCAGCTAAAGGGTTGAAGAAAAAAAAAATTCATTTTGTTGGCAACAAATACGTCCAATGTAAAATCAATTCACGTGTTTCAGCGGTTTTTTTTTAAGTTACTGGTTGAATAGATAATTTTATTCCGGAATTTCGCGCAACTCTGTATATTATATAGTTTATTACTTGTAACAACACCTTCAGGTTCACTCCATAGTCCAGTCGACAGAGTTCATTAATACGCTGGACCATTAGTCCAGAAAACCAGAAACAAATTATGGTAAGAAACAGAGTGAGAATAGAAATGTTATATTTATTTTATTTGATTTCTATTTTGTTTCATTTTTAATTACAAAAGGAAACTACACATTCTTAAAACATATATTTATTATCTAAATAGTTAATTCTAAATTAAAATATAAAAAGGGTTTAGATAAAGTACACAATTTGTGCTCAATCTCTATTTCTAACGACTCTTACTGAAGTTTTTCCCATTACGACAATTATTCCATCATCTTGTAGGTCCTTGAGAGCATCTTCGAATTGTTCTCTTGTGATCATCTGCAACAAAAGTCAATTATTATTTTACAGAAATGTTCAATAACATTTTAGCACGATAAACTTTGTCAAATTAAGCTGCGAATAATTGAAGTTCACGTCGTTCAGACATATCACAATCTCACGCTTCGCCAACTTTTATCAGGTTCATACATTTTATTGGACGTTCTTGCAACCGGCTGTTAATAATATAATACATTCTAAAATCTGCGATTATTCAGAGATAAGATAATGTATAAATATTCTTTTTATGATCACCATCCACCTAAGAATATTTTTGTTATTGTCGTTTTTTTGTGTGTGTCATCGGCTTCAACTGCTAAGGTTATTTCGCCTCGTGTTCTGTGTAGGCTTTGTCACTGTTTCCCAGCGCCACTTTAGGAACAGCACTGTTAATTAGAACCCAACAGTGAATGGTCGAGTGGGGAATCCTACCAAGGCATCAGAATTAATTTTAAATAATTAAATTAAATGAAAAAATTCCGACCAACGGTGGGATTCGAACCTGGGACCCTTGGGTCCACAGACAGAGGCTCTACCACTGAGCCACCCACCCCCCAATTGTCATTTAAATTTAAAATCAGCTTTAGTGCTCCGACAACCAGTTACCCTGAAGCAAATATACAATAGGATTAAGCAGTGAAAAATCAAATATTTAACTAGGCCACTCTAGAATAATTGTTTGTCCCAACACTTTTGTTAATCTTGTTCTGAAAGCAATGATACATACCAATGTGATAAAGTACAATCAATTCAGGGAGCTTTTTTGTGAAATTCTGTTGGAAACATGTTTAAACAATTCTGTACAAAATACATCAATTTATGTTTATAAGATTATTGTAAACTATACAGAAATTATGGCTAACAGGCGTTGCTTTGAATCTAGAGTGCTTATTGAGACGAGAAGTCCACGTGTCAGTAGCACTTTAAGGCCGACACAGAAAACAATTTTGAAGGCTATGATGAAAAAACGCCAGCAAGCCAATTTTTATGTAAAACTTATTTTTTAATTATCGACCTTTGTCACTATAATCATAAAATAAAGTGTACACAATTTTTTCTGACATAATACATATTCATATCTAATAAGACAATAACAATACATACGAGTATAAAAACTTGCTTTCTTTTCTATTTTTAAAATTGTCGATTTAGTGCCATTTTACTTTTTCTTCTTTTATTTACCTAAATAAAATAATGTCAAAAGCAGCCATTTTATCCTAAGTTGATAATTTTTTTAAACGGTGTATAGAAGTTGTTAAAATAAATATCTTTCTAAAATAACTTTTATCAAAAAACTCAAAAATAACAAAGATAAAGAATTAATAACTCTAAAACAGGGTCTGAACTTATGTACAAAAAATTTCAACAAATTAATAAGTCTGTTTTTACATTTTTTTTTAAATGTGAATCATGAATATTGTATTGCGTGGCCCCATTTCGATAGTAGATCAGTAGTGTTAGTGTTCTATTCTATTCAGTATGGTAAGAGTAAATTGAAAATAAAGTGCGTTTAATAGAACATATTTTAAATAATATTGATGTCGGGGACTCGTTGTTAGATAAGTGCATGGGTGATTGCATATCATGTGGGATAAGTCACAGAAAAGTGTGTATCCCTTGAACATTTCCCCCACAGAATTAATTTTCGTGAATGGGCCTTTCAACGCATGAATGTAATCAACATTTTTCGACGAAACTTATACAGTTATACAGGGCCGCATTGGATACATTTTTGAATTAATTATAGTAAGTTTTTTATTTTTGAGTTTTTTGAAAAAGTTGTTTATTTAAATATCAGCTTGTCAGAAGTACCTCACGCCTGAGCGGCGCCATCTGGTGAGCATTAAAGTATTACGCCTCATTACTTTTAGACAAAAAGAATTGTGGAGAAGACTAGTTACAATAATTGTTCTAAATACCACTGGAATTGAAAACAGTTACCTTTAAAAGAATACTTTATGTTACTTACCACAGATGAACTTTCTTTTAATTCTGTAAACAGTTTTGGGTAGTTAATAAGAGGCACTTTTCCTTTATCTTCAATCAGTTTTTTAACTGTTTGTGCTAATTCCAATCGCCGTTTTCTAGAAGCAGAACTCAAACCAGTTGTAAGAATATTAACATCGATTTTTCCAGATAGAGGATCCGTTGCGGATTGTTTTAAAGCTTCTCGATGTAACCTTAAAGAAAAATGATTAAGTGCAATTTTGAAACTGAAAATTTTTCTTAAGGTTATATTAGAAATGTAATTTAATAATTGGTAGCATGTAATAATTATGATTAAATGTTACATTTACTATACTTTCATTATTTGAAGACCAAATTAATCGTTATGATTTTCTTATCAATTGGTATAAATTTAATTCCAGATAAAAACTTCCATGAGTTTATTTTATTTTTATGCAGCTCCACTAATTTCATTATTTAAATACGTGAGCATATTTGAGTAGCTGATGTATGAATTTGTATGAGGATACAAAATAAACCAGGTAATGGAATATATTTTTAAGAAAGGTTTAAATTTAAAACTAAATAAAAAATTCCGAAACGTCTTTCTTACTAACGATAAAACACCTAAACAAATGAATCAATTAAAGCTTTTAAAAGAGGAACTTAAACAACGAAATGAAAACGGAGAGAATCTAAAAATTAAGCATCATAAATAATAAAAAAAATTAAAATAATAAAAAATTAAATACAATGTCCAAAGAGAAACAACTCAACTATAATTACTGTTATTACCAAAACGCAAGAGGCCTTGACTCTAAAAGTCATTATTTTACAAGTCATCTGTAGCCTGTGACTATCAAATTGATACCATAACAAAGACAAGGTTGCAACCTGACTTTTACATTAAAGAACTTTTTTATGCCAACGTATTTAGAAAGGACAGGGACTTAATTTCTACAAACTCCACCAAAGGAGGAGGGATAATCCTAGCTATTAGAAATGGTTGTATAGCAACAGAGGTTGACCTTTCTCAATACTATATTAATTTTATTCAATATGTCTGCCAAACGATCGATAATAAATTACAGCCTGATGTAATCTATATTGATTTCTTGAAGCTTTCGATAAACTTAATAAAATGTGCTTCTCAAAAAACTAGACTCATATTATCTAAATCTAAAAATTTTTCCAGTCAGACCTCTCCAATCGTATACTCTTTGTTGAATACCACCAGTCATATGATTTTTTAGCTACAAGTGGCGCTCCTCAAGATATCAATTTAGCTTCACTACTGTTCTGTATGTTTATAAATGATTTAACCAATCTAATTAAAAGCAAAACGGTTCTCTTTTCGGATGATAGTAAATTTTACATAGCTGTAGAAACAGTGTCAGGCTGTGATATCTTGCAACAAGACTTGACAACGTTGTACAACTGGTAAGACTCAAATTGGTTACCCTCGCTTATACAAAAATGTAAATGTGCAACTTTTACTTTAAACAGATGTAACTCAATTTAATTACACAATTAACAACATTACTCTTGAAAAGGTAGATGAAGCAAAGGATCTAGGTGGTTTTTTTTAGCAACAATTTAAGTTTTTCATCACATTTAACAAAAACCATAGCATCTGCAAAGAAAACGTGGGTTTCATTTTTTGTAACTTTAATAACATTAAATACTTAGGAATCCTATTCAATACTTATATAAGAACGCGCCTAGAATACTGTACTGGTCTGGTCACCTAGATACAATATTTACATTGACCAAATCGATCTATTCAGAGAATATTCATGAAGTACATGGCATGTAAATTGGATAGAACCTAGTCAAAGCAAGTTATCGACAACAGTATATAATACTAAATTGGTTCAACTTCTTATCTCTTGGGAATCGAGGACATACATTTCATGTATCTTAATATATAAATTAATGAATAATTTAATTAATTGTCCAGAAGCGCATAGAATAAATTAATTTATATGTACCACGACTAAATAGGAGAGCAGACATTTTACCTCTCTCCTCCCAGAACAAACATTATGATGAACTCTCCCTTAAGTAGAACGTGCATCGTTTTTAATGAAAATACTAAAGGGATTGACCTATTCTTATGTTCATTAAATCAATTTAAGAATAGAATCAAATTATCATCATAAATTAGCCGGTTTTTTTATCTTTCTTTCATAGTTTCATTACATATTTGTCTATTTTTGTTAAAGGGCGGTATTGAAGTACATGTTTATAGTAAAAGATTGATTATATTCTTAAAGTGATTCGATGTACATACGAATGGATTAATCCTTTTAGTATTATCATTAAAATCGATGCACAAACTATTTAAGGGAGAGTTTATCGTAATTAAAGTAAATCATGTGATGAGGACACAGAGAAATAATAAATCCCATGTTTCAGAATACTTAATGAAAAGAAAATATAAATAATATATAAATATAAAAATAAGGAAATTTACAACCAACCATTTATAAGTGGTAAAATTATAACGGGCTGGTGGTTGGGCCATTTGCAGAGAATACTAGAAAAAAGATGCTGAAAGAAATTAGTAAATTATTGGCAAGAAATGTTTAAATAGTGATGCACAAAAATATTCATAAAGTAGGGTATGACTGACAAAGAGATACGAATCATGTCCGAGATAGGCACGGCTCTGAATTAAAGCTGACGCTTAGAAGTAAAATTGTACGCTAGAAACATTTTTTTTGCAAATCACACCATACATTCCTGGAAGATTTTAGGAAAAAAAAAACTATGAAATTAAATAGTAAAAAATAAATTAGTGCTAATTTATCCTGTTCTAAACCGCGACCATCGAGGTCCAAGATAATGAGTTTGTGACAAATCAATATTTAAAACAATTAGAACATATTTAAAATAGATAAATACCTGTAAGCTTCTTCTACATCGTCAACTTCGACGGTTTGTGAAAATCGCAGTTTAGCATGTGCTTCAGAAAGACGAATTAGTGATTCTAATTGTCTTGGATAAGCTGATATTTGTCCTTTTCCAGAGCCTATTTTCCTCATATCCACATAAGACTGAATGAGTTTCTGTGAAGCCTCATCACTAAGTTTGGGATGTACATGTTCTTTTGCGTAAGCGATGTAATCTCTTACGATGGACATATCCTAAAAATAATATAATACAGGGTGCTTTTTTTTATTACGGACATTTCTATAGCGTAAAAGTTTAGATATAGAGATTCTGTTGAATGAGAGAGAGGCTCCCACAGATCAACGCGAAACGTTCTCCGCGAATCTACGACAGAAAATTCGAAGCAAAATAATAAAATAACGTACTCGAGGTAGGTTTTCACTCAGAAATCTTTAGAAATCGTTATAAATCATCACCGAAATCATTTTTTGGGCCTAAATATAAACGTAGATAAAAAAGTCGATCAAAAAACAAGGTAAAAGGCAAAATAAAGGTATTTTCAATATTCTTCAAAAACAAAAATTATAGATCATTAACTGGAAATTATATATGATGATTACCGTAAGTAACAAGGTAAAATCAAGAGCAAAAACATTTTCGATCACTGACATATCATAACCAAGGAATATCAACATCAGTAGCAACCAAAATTTACAAGTATTTGCAGACCACTTCTTGAATATGGAAAATATTATATTAATGATTTATTTATATATAACTTGGAAATCAGTGGAAAGAAGTGCCCACAATCCTTCCAGTATGTTATATTTCCGAACCAAAGGTATGTGGTGCGGCCGTACCTGAGACCGATCATGTTCTTTGTTGACCTTCAGCGCTGCCGGTACGTCTGACGCTGGCGATCGAGATTCTAGAATGAATCTTTGCGCGCGGACAGACTCCTCATAGAAGGATTCAGAGAGCTTCTTGACTCCCATGGAGAATCTTCTCGAGCGGGGCTGGCTTTATACATATCGTATAAATAGCGAGACTTAGTTTAGCAGTTCAATTGAAGTTCATAAACAGTTTGAAAATAAACGTTCTCGAATAAAGATAAATTGTAAAATAAATCAAAAATGTGAAATATAAATAGTGCTCGAGTTAAAATAAATTAATGAGTACTTAGTGCAAATAAATTATAAACTGTTTTAAATAAATAAACTATTTTTAAAATAAACAATCGTTACTGTTACTCCTATGAAACAACGCTTTCATAAATTATTTCACAACTTTAGGCAAAAAAAATAATCCTAGAACCCTTACTCCTTCAAAGTCCTAACCAAATTTATATACCCCAAAAAAACCATATGGGAATATTTGCAGAAAATTTATTATAAAGACCCAGAATTACATAGCCCAAGATTAGGAAAAACGAAAAAGGTGAAACTAAAATTAGAATTTTGAAAAAGAAAATGCCGGATCCAATATGGCAGTTAAGATTCAAAAAATTGTTATATTTTCATAAACATTCGGTCATAAGGCTTTTCGAAGTAACTAATTAAGAAATCGAAATGAGAATTTTGAAATAACAAAATGGCCTATTCAATATGGCTGGCAAAATGATAAAAATCGTTATTTTTTCATAAAAATTTGGATATAGGACATTTTGAGGTCACTGATTTTGAAACTGAAATTGTTATTTTAAAAATCAAAATGGCAGATCCAATATAGTGAAGGTTATAAAAATTGTTATATTTTCATAAAAATTCGGAAAAAGGGCTTTGCGAAGGCACTAATTAAGAAATTGAAATGAGAATTTTGAAATAACAAAATGGCAGATTCAATATGGCTGACAGAATGATAAAAATCGACATATTTTCATAAAAATTCGGATAGAGGGTTTTTCGAAGTCATTGATTAAGAAATTAAAATTAGAATTTTGAAATAACAAAATGGCGAATTCAATATGGGCGACAAAATGAAAAAATCGTCATTTTCATAAAAATTCGGAAATAGAGCTTTTTTCAAAATCACTAATTAAGAAATTGAAATTAAATTTTGAAATAAGAAAATGACAGATTCAATATGGCTGGCAAAATGACAATAGTTATATTTTCATAAAAAATTCGGATACAGAGCTTTTCGAAGTGACTGCTTAAGAAACTGAAATAAGAATTTTGAAAAACAAAATGGTAGAGCCGATATGGCGGGCAAGATTATAAAAATTGTCATATTTTCATAAAAATTAAGATATAGGTCTTTTCGAAGTTACTGATTAAAAACCTGAAACTAGAATGTTTAAATAACAAAATGGCAGATTCAATATGGCTGACAAAATGATAAAAATCGTCAATTTACATAAACATTCCGATATAGGACTTTTTAAGGTCACATTTAAAAACTGAAATTAGAATTATGAAATAACAAAATAGCGGACAATATTATAAAAATGATTATATTTGCATAACAATTCGGATAAAGGCTTTTCGCAGTCACTAATAAGGAAATTAAAATTATAATTTTGAAATAACAAAATGGCGGATCCAATATGGCTGACAAAATGATAAAAATCGTTATATTTTCATAAAAATTCTGATGTAGGACTTTTTGAGGTCACTGATTTAAAAACTGAAGAAAATAAAAATTGTTAATTTTCATAAAAATTCGGATTGATGTATGTGTGTGCATATATCTGTGTATCCTTATCCACGATAACTCAAAAACTAATAAAAAAAGAAAAATCAAATATTAAATTTAAGTCTTAATCCTTCCTCCGATTCGCCGATTAAATTTTGGTCATAGTCGGAGCACCTGGGGGTACTTTATAGGGTGTCGTTTTTCTACTTTAAAGAATATTTATGTTATTTATGCTTAGAGAAAAAAATTATTTAAATAAAAGTTGTTTGTAATGTTATTCTCTAGAATTTTTGTTCTATACATAATTTCTCTAAAATGGACCCTATTGGAAAAATTTGAAAAAATGTGCAGAATTAGAATTTTTATTGACAATGAAGATATGCAAAAATATTTTGTATAAAATGTGGGTGGAAAATTTATATATTTTATTAATTTTTGTAAATACTTTTTGATCAGATAGACCGTACTCAATATATTTCATAAAATTGATTATTTAAATTATTAAATAGGCCCCCAACTATACTAAAAAATCAAGTTAAATAAATATATTTTAATTGGTGTTCTTATATTTTATTTATACCCAGTTTTCAAGTACGTCAATGTAGTAATATATTTGGAAATTATCAGTTGTTGAAGATAATCTTTAGATCATTTAATTTGTCTTCTTGGTTTTAAAAATAAATACCTATTAGACTTAAAAAGTTGTTATTTATTAGCATTTGCTAAATGACTAACTCTGCATATTTGATTTTAGACGTTTTATTTCATGTCTGTCAAGTTATGAATTTTTGATATGACAGTGTTAAATCTCTGCTCGCTCACGAATATTTTAGAAAAATTATCAAAATATTCGTGAGTGCGAAAAAATTTCTAGAAATAATTTAGGAACTAATGAGTGGTATTATAAGTGAAAATAATGAATAAATTTAAAGAAATGACAATTTTCATTTTTTTGTCTGATATTTTGAATCTCCCTGTAAACATCAACGGTTTCTTGGCTCCATTTTAATGAGCACAACACTGCACAACTTTTGTCCAATTTAACCAACTTTATCTGTTATCGTTTATGAAATAGCAAACTGTCCCAATGAAATACTAGGGACCCTGTATAGTAACTCAATAAAGAATTTTTACTATTATGCGTGTACGTTTTGACCTTAGTGGTTTACCCCTCGAACCATTTCTAAGTGGTAAGATTAGCGCTAATCTGAACATGTAGGTTTGTCACCATATAAGCAGTACTCAGCAGCACGAATATTCGCCCCCGTTGGTCTGGGGAGCCTTAAAAGTTGCTTATTGAGGGGGAAAATAAAAGTATCTCATGTATACAGGATCTTTTTTGAGTTATTCAAGATAAACTGAAATATCAGATTTTCGTTAAATATCCTATTTATAAGCAAAATCAACGTTTTTGATTCAACAATACATCAAATACTTTTCGAATAGCATTTCTTTCTAAATATATCCTAGTTTGAAAAATCTCTAAATAGAAAAATCAAATCCGAACCTCCCTGTACAAAATTTAATGTAAAAATATAAAATACCAGAAATTCCATCTCTTCCTGATCTCTTGTTTTGTAATATAATGAGACCAAATGACGGGCCAGTCTTCGGTCAAAAATTTCATTTTGTGGATCCAAAATTAAAAATATTAGGTCGAATCTGAAAAAAGTTATGAAAAACTATTGTTCAAATTAATTTTTTTGAATTAGTTCAATTATTTACCTTGATAGCAGCGTATGAGGTAACTGGACATTTTCAATAATGGTTTTATTTTTATTCCATTGGGATTCGCATGGATTGGCACCAGCTAAAACTGAAGTTCTTGCGTTAAGCTGACAAATAATTCCTGCTTTGGCAATACTGAGAGTTTGCTGTTCCATTACCTAAAAAAAATCAACCATTTTTATTAAATTCCTTTTATTTATTACCCTTTCATTATATTTAACGCAAACTTTGAAAACTTCACACACCATACTTTATTTTACTGTTATATCAAATATTTAAATTATTGCTATGAAAACACTTTAGTAAAAAGTATATACAGGGTGATTCCTAAGTTGATACTTTTTTACAAATAACATTCAAAAAAACTCAAAAATAAAAAACTTACTATAATCAATTCCAAAATGGATACAATTGATTTTCCTGCAGTTGCCACACTTTTCTTTGATTTTTCCAACCTGATATGTAATCACGCATGCACTTATCTAACAGCAAGTACATAACAACATTATTATTTAGAATGTATTCTTCTAATGCACTTAATTTTCAATTTACTCATTACTGAACAGATAAACATAGACAAACTTATTAATTCTTTAATTTTTTGTACACAAATTCAGGCCCAGTTTAAGATATATTAATTATCTTTATTTATGAGTTTTTTTCAAAAAAGTTGTTTGAGATGATTTTATTTTAAGGACTCCTACTGGATTAGGTATTTAGCATTAAATGTCAAGTTACTCATAAAAAATGTGAACTTTACCTCATGTAGAACACTCCGAGCAGAGTCGCTCATCTTATCGAATTCATCTATGCAACAGATTCCGTTATCAGCAAGAACGAGAGCTCCAGTTTGAAGAACAAGTTGTTTGGTTTCCGTGTCTTTGGTAACATAAGCAGTCAAACCTACAGCTGAAGAACCTTTGCCGGACGTATATTGACTTCTTGGTAGCAAATTATACACATATTGTAAAAGTTGAGACTTTGAAGTACCTAAAAATAATTAAATGGTAAACATTAAATCCTAAACAAAGTTGAACACCTTCAAAATTAAAAAAGAGCTCTTACGTTCAAAAATAATATAACAAAAACGCTTTTTCTTATTCCAAGTGGTACACCTTTCTATCATACCCTTAACTGTCACATATTTAACCAATACAATTTAAATCTTCAAATTTCTAAAATGACGTAATCTTTTCTCTTGAAAAACGAAGGCATGATGCGGATTCCCCCTCCGTTTCACGACTCTAAACCATACAATTTAAATCATTAAATTTCTGAAATGACTAATCTTTTCTCTTGAAAAACGAAGGCATGACGGGGATTTGATATTCTTGCATAAGTTGTTGAATGGTGTGTAAATAAATTGTCCATAACCGCTTGCTTTATTTAACTTTAATGTTGGGTCAAGAACTAGGAATAGACCGTTGTTATATAAAAATCAGAATTTAACAAATTAGGATCGTCATAATTCACTGACACGCTTATCTCGCGAATTGAATAGCCTGTCATATCCAAATTATGTATTTTTTAATTCATTTAGAACGTTTATAAGAATATAACAAAGTTAAAAGAAAGGTTTGTTTGCGTACTATTTTTCTCAATTTTTTAAATGGAATACAAAAAATTGAGAAAATCGTAACTTCGCGTTTTGACAGATTGTATAAACAATACAGCAAATATGTATCAAATATGTATAACTACCTGCAGGGTGTTTTGTTTGGTCAGCACCTCGTTTGTGGACCACCCTGTATATTTAAGAATAATTGTTGATTATGTTCATACAACTTTTATATTAAACATTTCTTTGTATTTCCTATAATAAAACAGCGATTGATCAATTACGTACTGATGGGACACCCTGTATATGTGATACTGGCTAACGTGTTAGTATCGTTGTATAGGCAAATGTATAAGAAATGTTATGCTAAAATAATATACAGGGTGTTGCATTTGAACAAATTGAGTAAATTAAACTTAACATTAGCCATATATAAGACATGTTTCAAAACATTCTGTATATATTTCAGTTCTATCACCACTATTCGTTAAATAAATTAATAAAAAATAACAAATAACATTTCACTATAACATTTTTTAGTTATGACGAAAACTGCAGTCATATTTACCTGGATCACCACACAACAAAATATTAATTTCAGCTCTGAAATTTGTTCGACCAGAGGTAACAAATGTTTTTTTAGTTCCTCCAAATAGTTGTAAAAGAATTCCTTTTTTTACATCTTCGTTTTCGTAAATCGATGGAGCTATAGATCTCGCTAGACGATCATAAACATCGGGTTTTTGTGATAAAATATTTAAAAGTTCCACTCTTTCGGGGGTGAAGCGGCGATCTTTTCTGTAAATTATAAATTAATTGAATTAGCATATACATGGTGTCCCATTAGTGTATGTAAGTCCAATATCTCAATTGTTTATGAAAATAGGAGAATACAAAAATTTTACAGTTTATAAAGGCGCACCCAAAAAGCAAAACAACATACATTTTTTTATATGGATCACTGTGTATTTTATTTTTGAATTCTATTAAAAAAACTAAGTATTTTTGTTTAAAACACCATTATATTATTCTTCTAAAATATTTATATGCGTAATTTGAAGTCAAATTTTAAATGGCTCTACTGGTACAGTTCCTGCTATATATTTACAAAGTATTGAAGACTTGCTTTGTTACAAAACCGCTGACGCAATTGTCGCCATCTCAATAAAATTTCCTCATAAAAAAAACATAAGCCTTATAACTATAAATCTTACTTACCCGTCTTCTTCCTCATACAATCTTCTGTTGTCAATTTTACGGAAATGTAAAACATCAATATGTGTTTTGTAAACGGCACGTATGTTTCTTTGAGTGGGCATCACCTGTAGAGGTTGAGCTCTATAAATACCAGTAACTGTAACTCGATCACCAGGTTGAACGGCATCAACTAGATCATTGTGGGCGAATAGAACTACAGTATGAGGTGTTTGACCAGCAGGCATATCATCTAAACAAACATAATTTGATATTATGGGTTTGAGAAACCAATCCATTACATGTATTTCCCGATAAATTCGCATGTGCTCTCAATTTGTAAAAGTGAAAAAAAAAAGGAAATTTTAAAAGTAATTTTGTCTTACAAAACTAATAAAATAAAATTTGTTTCTTACCGTATCTAAATAATATAGAGTGAATTTAATTAGTAATGTTGTTTCCCCGTTTTTTAACATTAATGTCTTAAAATTTTACCATCTAATTTCTAAGTGCTTGAGTTATTTCATACCAAACCCACGACTGATGCAAGATTTTTAAAAATATTAAATTGACAAAAACAAATATTATTACAATATGTGAGGTATAGATTTTTCTTTATTTTTTTTATTAATGTGTAGATATTTTAAATTAATTTATTATTTAATGACTGTAATATATATTATTGTATTGTTTTAATGGGCTCTGGCCTGTAAATAAATAAATATTTTTACCTGGAGATTCTTGCAACTTAATCATCTGTTTATCTGTAAATTGTGACCGATTATGAATAAGGGTAAAAGTGTGATTTGTATTACAACTACTGCAAAGAGTTGGTTCAGTAATACGACCTCTATCAATTTCCACATTAACGAAAAATTGACAAACTATGCACTTGAAGAATGCCTCTCTCATTTCCGGCATTATATTTGATGTACGGATTACCATCCCACTTATTGTTATCAATTGGTCAATATCTGGAACAAATAGAAAAAAAAAACATTCTTTACCTTTATTGATGGTCACAAAAATGCTAGTAAGGATTTCAAAAAATACAAATTATTAATAATAAATACTTAATTTGAAATTAAAAATATTCGTTGCTGAAAGAAACCTTGGAATTGAAATTGGATTATTCAAAATAGGGACAAAGAAAAATGTATTTTTTTATTTTTTTAATCGTTTAAACAATATTCGATGAAGACATCAACTGGCACCTTGTACTTTTATAATTAATCAAGTTAACCTTTCTTAATAGATAAAAACAGAAATCAATCAGAATAAATAACCAAACGACAGCGCCATGTTGCCATGCTCCAATGTATGAAAATAAATTGAAATTGAGTTGTACAAACATACCCTCTGGATTCAAGGATCTCATGTTTTTAGTTTTTTCAGCATTAAATGGTCTCACTTGAATCTGATGTTCAAGCACAGCAGCTGGATATCGTTCGTAAAACATTTCATTGATACACATGTCAAAAGTTGGTATAACTTCTTGTGGATAACACACTAATTGTCTGTACAGACTAACATCAAATGTTTCCAAGTGGGAACAGTTGATGCTTAAAAAAGGTTCTTCCAATGTATGAATCTGCAAGAAAAAGTAAGCAAAATTAAAAGCAATATATTTTTTCTCTATTAATGTTTTTATACAGGGTGTTCCAAAAAGTAGGCTAATCTGTTAACTATAGATTCCTTAGGTCAGTGTAAGAAACCTCTAGTATTATTATTTTCGATTGGGGCTAAAATTTAGGGGGGTTAAAGGTATAAACCCCTTGCAACTAGCGCTCTCGATGAGGTATTTAGGCTCAAATTATAATTTGTCATCCCAAAAAACCCTGGAGTACCAATTTTAAGCCATTTACTTAATAAAACGAAGAAATTAAAATGAAAAACATATTTTTGACAATTAATTTTGTCACCCTGTATATTGCACATGATGGCCCCGATAAAAAAAAATATTAATAGGTTTCTTACACTGTCCTAATATCTATGGTTAACGGTTTGACTTTTTTTTTTGGGACGCCCTGTATACTATATAAACTCCGCTCACTAGACAAACCCCCGACCAATTGACAATAGAAATTAAACAAATTCATCTGGCTGTTTCATATAACTAGTTTGAAATTATTTTTATATGAAATTGGCTTACTTCTTCTAATTTTTGTATATAAAGAGGTTCATTTAAATTCATATCGTCAGTCCTCTCATCTTCTTCTGCATTAGGATCAATAAAACGAAGTATAAATTGCTTGAATTTTGCTTTGCATTCAGCAACAGAAACGTTAGTTCCCCAAATAACCAAATGAGGAGTTGTGGAATCAGATTCTTGAGTTTCAGGAATGGCTTCCAACTGAAAACAAATATCACATTAGAGGTCTTTTTGAACAGTTAACAATTAACAAAAAAATTTAATATGTGTATGAATTACATGTGTATTTCTCACTAATACACAGTAATTTGCAGTATTTGACTTCGATTGCAGTAGTTTCCTTTAGGTCAAAGGGTCAAAAAGATAGAGAGACTACAAAATAAAGTTTTAAAACACCTTTATTTATTAAATTATTGATTAAGTTGTATAGGACATTTTAAAATGATGTTAATCGACAAATTTAAAAATACCAGATTTATGTTTTTATTCACCAGGTTGTGTAGATCTAAATTTTCAAACACAGTCATTACATATGGAAATAACAAATAATAATGTTTATTTTTATAAAACTATCGGTTCCCTGATACACTTTTGACTAGTATTTCCGTTAAAACAAAAAGAAAGTTCTAGAAAAAGTAATCACTAAGAACAACTATCATCGATCATAAAACGCCTAATGAAATTGAATGTCTAAAAGATCTTGAGTTAAAGAAAAATAATAGAGAGCAGGACCTAACTATAAAATATATACATGGTCCCAAAGATTGTGAAAGTTCGTCAATAATCTTGATATTTTGTTTTTACGATTGGATATTTTTATAAATAAATTTAGAAACCATTAACTCTAAATTTAATGAATTATTATGCTCTGTACAAAATTTGAAACCGAAACTTATTCTTATTACAGACACATGGTTAACATAAAATGTTTCTGATTCCATGTATGATATTTTGAATTATTATCTATACAGATGCGATCGAAGAGACCCTCGTGGTGGAGATGTCTGTATTTATCAGAGATAACAGGAGATGTAACTACTAACAAATATCGTGCTGTAGTGAATAAGACATATTCTAAGGGACACAGGAGAGTATATCTGCTGTTGTCAAGGCTATTTCATTATTCTCGTTTTGTTTACAAAATTATTTACATATCTTAAAAAAGCTAAAATAATTCAACCTATTTTATTGCAACTGATCCCAAAAATTTTTTGAATCATTAGTTATATCAAATTTAACTAAATTAGATGTAATTTTACTAAATTAGATGCAATAATTTTCCATAAATTCCAAGACCTAGTTAATTTTAAGTTGAATGTGGCAACAAGGCTTGCATTTCTACGTTGTTTATTATAAGCACACATACGCTTACACCTTGTTTACATATATATTCACTGATAATAATAAATTTATCGCCGTAAAATCCTTCGCTTTATCCCCTCTCTTCACTCCGGACCTACAACTGGAGCGTATTGACTGTCGAATTGATGTTGGCATCATGAATATTATATTTTATCAATGAATAGTTACATCTCCTTTTATCTCTGGTATTTATTTATCATCAGATATTACACATTTTCCTGTTACTTCTCTTAACACCAATGTCCCTAATATGGAATTATTAATATTAAAAATTTATTCTAACTCCTTTAGGAGAAGAGCATTTGGCAGGGAGATTCTCAAAACAGTCCTTATTTGAAAAACTTGAATATCTATCTTCACTAGAAAATGTTATTATTAAATTAAATCTCTTAATATTTTGATAATAAATTACTAAAGGTGATTTCAATTTCCGAGATATTTCAAGGCCAGTTACTCTCATTCCAAGTGATGTAGTAAATTTGAAAAATAAATTTTTTAACTTTATTAATTCATTTTGTTCTAGGTCTAAATCATCAAAAAAGGTCAGTACATTATATGGACTTTTCCCTTTTTAAAAAAGCAGTGTTGTAATCTCATCTAGTGATAGCATGAAACCCTGGTAAGCTTCGACACAACGACGGTCCTAACTGTTCGTAAATCTTAGTTACATCAACATATCTTAGCTTACATGTCACTCAGATAATCAAACATACAATTCCAGAGGGAAAATCAGCAAATCAAACAAGAACTACAATAAACAAGTATTGAACAATAGGCATTTCCTTTTATAATGCACTTCCACCCCACATCCATAATCTACTAGGAAAGGTTTAAACAGCAAATTAAAATAATATACCCGACATGTCTATATAATGTTATGTGAGCCATTTCATTATTCAGTCATGCTCTAACCCTACAAGTCCCTCTCTGTCTTATTTGGCCTTTGAGGCTCAACTTGTCCGATTATTATACATAATTAAACCCCTTAAGACCAAACCTATGGGACGACTATGGCGGAGGTGATTTCGATGACTATTCGAGAAGGGACGAGATAATATTTCTGGACTGTTCCAAATATTTCTAGTTTGGTGGAGAAGCTTCTCGACTCCACCAAATTTTAGAAATTTGTATATAAATATTGGTGGAAGAACAGAGATCAATCAGTTATTATATGGACAGTGAAGATAAATAGTAATTAGTAGATAGACAGTGGTGAATATAAATAGTGATCAGTTTAAAGACATTCGAAGTATATATAAATTATAGAATAGTTGTGTTATAAAATAAATAAGTGTTTTAAATAAATTATTAATAAATAAACTGTTGTTTTAAAATAAATAAACTGTTGTTTTAAAATAAATAAACATCACAATAACATTAATGATTATTTTGTAAAAGTGTAACATTTCATCTAATATTTTTAATATTTGTGTTATTTTTTTTATATTTAGTAAACTCATTAAATTTTGGGCATAGTCCGAGGGGTTCTTTAAAGGTAGATTTTCTATTTTATAGAATATTATCTGTTAGAGAAGAAAATTCTTGAAATAAAAGTTGCTTGCAATGTTATTCTCCATAATTTTTGTTCTATACATAATTTTTCTAAAATGGTCCATAAACATACTTCATGCTTCTAAATTATGCTTGTGGAATATTATTTTCGAAAATATGTCTTTTAAAAATTACTATAATTTTTTCTGTTTTTGAAAATAAATACGCTATAAAGAAATGAAAATTGCAGGATTCACTTTGTATAAATTCCATATAAAACAGCACTAACATTTCAAAAACATCGTCATACATTCATCTCATTTAATTTATAAGAAAATATTTTGAAACCCCTTGTATCTTTTATATTTGTAAAAAAAATGTCAGAAAGTAATCATAATTGACAATTCTACATTTTTTTACAAATGAACTGTCCTACTTATATGAATTTACATTCGATTTTTAAACATCCTTCTCTAAATTTAACATGGAAGATATTTTAAGGGAAGAACCTGACATCTCAGTATTAGTGACAAATTTTCAAATAAATATAATTATCTCCTGTACAATATTAATTTTAGTACCCTTTATTTATAAGCTTAGAAGAATAAGTCAACCAGTAAAAACAGAAAGTAAGTTAAGCAATTAAAAGTATTTAAGTTTAAAATAAAGTTCTGAATTTTAGCTGAAATAATTTACAACAAAGAATGCCCTATTTGTTTCAATTTTTTCCAATTTCCAATTAAATCACAATGTGGTCACGTATATTGCATGGACTGCATCTATACTTATTGGGAAAAATCGATGTGGAAGACAACTTGTCCATTATGTAGAAGACCATTAAAACGTCTACAGATTTTAGAAGTAAGCCATTGATAAATTAACATGTGCTGAGCATTCGAATGAGGGATCGCATATCCATTTGAACGGGACAGTAGTAGTGAGACACATGAGCTTCCATTTGGGTCGCTTCATAAATGCATAGATGTACGCACTTTCAACAATATGGTGGAACCCATAATATCGGCCTCTAGGGTTGCCACCTGTCCTTTTTTGAACAGGCCAGTCCCTTTTTGAAGCAAAATATCCTTGCGACTCTTTTTCTACTATGACATATGTCGTTTTTTGAGTTTGACTAACAGCGCACATAAGATGAGGAAATTTTTTTTTAGAAGCTCGGTAAGACGAAGAGGAAGATTTATTTTGTTCGGCCTGACGACCTTTTTTAAAGGTGGCAATCCTATCGGCCTCTGATGATACACTGTTCTTGAGTGAGATCCATCGTGGTTTCCATCAGATTCACGTATGTTTTGCTAACCGTAATTTTTATTTATTTTTATTTATTTATTTACAATATCCTACACGGCTTCCGCCATTTATAGAATAAGGTGTGGACAAATAATATAAATAGTTAAACATACAGAGATAGCAAAGTGCATCCTGAAAAAAAAAACTTTACTAAAAGATAAAAAAGGATGCACCCATCTGACTCAGTTTTAAATAATATGAATTAACAAACTAATATCAACAAAAACAAAAATACTAACAAATTTTATAAAGAAAAATTAACAGAGCAAATTAAGCAATAATTGATACATAAATAAATAAAAGTTACTAATTTGACAAGAACACTCTTTTAATAGATGAGAGAACAGTTAAAAATATCTAAATTTACTTCAATATTTGAGTAGTTTACAATCAGTTGATACAAAGGAGTTGCCTTGTATGGGTTGGTTCTATGAGAGTGTGAAATGTATAATTATTTCGAGAATTAATCCTCTGAACATGAAAATTTAACATTAACGTGTGCGCCACAAGACTATATTATAATTGATTTATAGGATGAAAATAATTATTCCGAATCAACAAGAAAGAAGTTATTGGAGAAAATTAAGCAAATGTCTTCCAAAGAAAGTCTTAAGTTAAGCCTACTATCAATACCTTTTATTAGCTACATAAATGGAATATTAATTTCACTTGTGTGGACTTTGCTAATTCTCAATATGGATAAATTGATAAAATGTATTTTTTTGATGTACAAATATTTATATAATAGAAATGAAGTAACTTAACAAAACTATTTGCTTTTAAATTTTGTCTTTCTACTGTGTTTTTTATTTAGAAATTGTAATAATAAAAGTGTAGGATCCAAAATCAACTTTAATTTTATGAAGCCATTTTGGAACTAATCAAAATATTAATAGTGAGTTTGGGATGTGGACTCATTTTACTCTTTTCACTCCATATCTAACTTCACATCACTGAATTACAATGGTTTAGCATGGTATGAATTTAGTTATGGAGTGAAAAGAGTAAAAGGAGTCTACCTCCCGAACTCAACATAAGTGTACATGCAACTGCCAAACTTATATGGCGGGATTCAGTATTTATGACAAAACCTTTTTAGGACCAGTGAATCTATCATCAAATGGTGGCACAATAAGTTCCATCATGTTTGAGCCCTAAAGTTTCTAGAGATGAACTAGGGTGATCACATGGAAGAGTAAAAAAGAAGACTGCACACTAATTTTCACTCATTAATGTTATGCATACTTGTGATAATTGTCACCAAGAAAAACTAGTCACAGTATTTCTTTAATTTACTTTGGTTAATGTGTTATTCTCCTTTAGAATAATTGTTTCTGGCTATAACATCGGATAATTAAATACTGGCAATGTGTTATTTTAGAATTAAAAGGATTAGATATTGTCAAATTAACTATGACAACACATATCAACGTGTAACAGTTTTAGAGAAATGGGAAGTAATCAGTTAGTTAATAGAAATTAAATGGAGTGATTTTATTTATTTTTAATGACATCAAACGGTGGTGACTGTGACAAAGACTTCGCCAACATTATAATATAATAATGTTTGATCTGTTTTTCCATATTCTTTATTTACAATAACTTAAACTCATAAAATATAAAACCAGGTAGAGTGTAGAATAAAATGAAACTTTGAAACTAAATAAATATTAATGTCTTTATATTATTATTAAGCACAAACATTTTATTCTTCATCTCAGGATTTCAACTTAGTTAAATATGGTTTCATATAATTAAAAGAAAAAACTTACTGCAGTATCACCTCCTACATTCACTTGTCTAATCCTTTTATCAGACCTGACATCAGGTCTCATACGAATTGGTGTTCCTCTTATACCTGACCTAGGTGTTCTAATAGAACCCAATGAACTAGGTGTACCATAATTAAGTGGAGAACTCAGATCAATTTCACTCATTGCCAGACCTAAAATTTAATATTATTAATAGACAGGTTGAACCTTAATTGCTGTAATAAAAGTAAACCTGTGCCAGGACTCGTTGGAGCTAAGCTATGAGCTGGAGAAGATGGGATTTCACTTTGTCCATCAATGTCATTTCTGGGCACCCCAAAACGCATAGGTGTATCAACAGTAGATACACTCTTAGCTGGTGTGTTACGACCTTTCCTGGGTGTTCTAGTTGAAGAAGCAATGCTCTTTGCTGGGGAAGCATCTTCCCTTCTAGGAGTTGCATTTCCTCTTCGTGATGGAGTTCTTGCTGAAGGTGTTTGAACTCTTGATGGAGTTCTAGAGCCTTCAGGGTTTCTTGATGGGGTTCTAGAGCCTTCAGGGTTTCTTGATGATCTGCGGGGGGTTTTTGAACCATCTTCTGAAGGTGCAGGTGAGGGCATTCTAATGGTAAAAATTTAAGAATGCAATTATTTTTTGTGAAAATATGTATAGGTACATATATCATCTTTAATAATATAGAAATCTGCTAAGTTAAAGATAACTTAGGGAATAAACCAAATTGCATGGACTTAAAAAATAAAAAACTCGTTTTAAGACAAAGACAAGGAACGAACTTATATAAACCTAACATAATGTGTGATTCAGAAATATAAAAGAAGAACAAGGGAGTAAAACAAGAATATGAACTAAAAAGGAGAGTTATACAGTATGTTAACCAACGCACCCAGCAAAATAAGTCTGAGATGGTTTATTATTATATTTGCATGTGAGATAACTTGTGAATCGCCTGTGTGCCTGCCATGATTTGACACATGGTTACACCTCTACCAATAGTGGGATAGTGGGCACTGTTCTACCTCTGTCTATTCAATAGTATCACTTATTCTATACTGTTCTTCTGGAGCCAGTATGGGAAAGTTAACATACTGTATAAACCTAAGACCATTATTGAAAAAAATCTAGTCATAAAGAAATTATAACATTTTCTACTAGAAGTTAGTTGAAAGAAAATACATGATACATGTATAATAATTGTACTGTACCAGAGGAAGTATCTTGGAATATCACAGAAAACAGAAAAATATATTGTATTATTTACACGGACAGCAGAGAAGGAAAAGAAGGAACCTAAGAGTGGTGAAAATGTTATAAACATGGAAATATTTTTAGTAAATTTAAAGGTACATTTTTTTGAAAGCAATATGCATCCTAATTTCTAACAAATATTACATTTTAGATATACCTACATATTTGTATTGATATTGCTTCAATGCCTCTAAAAATTTTAAGAATAATCTATTTAATTTCCTAAACAATATTAACTACTCTGATTAAACATACCTGAACGTATAAAATTGCTAATTTATAAGTATTAAACTAATAAAAACACGTCCCAAACTCAAACAAAAATTTATTACAAATAAAAAGAGAAAAGCGCGGGAGAATCTTTGGCTCTGGCCATAGATAAGGTAATAAAGAAGATGGTCGGATTCTGTGTTAATCTTTGGAAACGTAGTGCTGCGAATTAGTATGGAACGGATCTTTTTTGAACTACACTGGCTGATTGATTTGTCAGTAAGAGGCATAAAAAAAGAAGAGTATTAACGTAACCGCGGTTCATTTAAATATCTTTATTTATTTATTTATATTTTTTGGGGTTCATTACTTTAAAAAGAAAAACTAATATTTATATTAAAATATTGTATTTAACATATATATTAGTTTTTTTTTAGTTATAAAACCCCAAAAAATGTATACAAAAATGTAGACAAAAAATATTTACACTGAAATAAAATATAAGACAAATATATTTAAATTATTTATTATACAGTAATACATACATAATGTGTTAATAAAGAACAATTGTAAGTGAAATGAATACTAGTTTCCCCACATTCTTGTAAAAATGGACCATACTTTGATGGGCGTCAGGTGTTTCCTATAAAAACAAAACAAAAAGTGTACATATATGTTATTGAACAATTTCTCTCATCAAAATGTTGACCATTTTTATAAAACTAAGTTATTTTTAATTATTTGACGAAGATTGAGAACGACGCAGTCAACATATCCAACAATTTTGTCATTAACTGTATCAAAAGTGAGTTTTTCAGTTAGAGCTATTTCGTCGGACATTAAAATATAATTCCTATCAATTTCTTTAAATCTGGAAAACACTGAATCATTTATCCCCGTTTCAAAATGTAAATCACTTAAAATTTGTTGGATAGTAGATTTACTAGGCAACGAAATGCATTTTCTTAAAAAATTATATGCTCTTGGACCATTTTTATATAATGCTAAAGAAAAAATTTTATTCTGAGTGGTCCAAGAGGGTTTCTTTCTCTTACAATTTTCTAAACTACTTTAAAGAATTTAATTCCAATCGGATCTAATTTATTATTAAAATCTGAAAATAACTGAGTTTTGGATAATTCAAAGGCTTTCTTGATTTTATTTTTGGAAACACATAGAGCTTTCTTTAGCTTACAAATTCTAACGTTTTGTTCTCTATTAATAAAATACAGCTTTTTCTCTTTGGGACTTAAATTTTTGACTTTACTTTCATTTATTTGTTGCAAAACAGTTTTTCTCCGTTTGGAGGGTTGTTCAAATTGTACATCACTAATATTTAGTTTACGTTTGCAACTAATTTCTTGATTTTCGTTGCTGATTAGCAAATCTATCTTATGCTGCTGTGTTTGTGCTTCAGCCTCAATATATTCTGAAATCTGGCTCTCGGGTTGTATATTTGAACTGGATGCATAATTATCTAAAGAAATTGGTACAGAATGTACAACTAGTCGTTTACGTTTTGAGGAAACCTTACTAAAAGACTGGCAAAAAATGATCTTCACAAAGATAGCGAGTATTATATTATCATCTAAAGTTAAATTTAAATTCTTAAACCAGTTCTGGCGAACTTTAACATCAGAAGGAAAATGAAAAAAGGTTCTGGTAAAGGATCCTGTGATGCGAATTTCATAATTTTAGCATTAATATATTGAAGTAACTTACTTTTTATAATATTTTAACTGAAATTAAATATGGAAGAATACGTTTAATTTGCTATTTTCATTTATATTATAATAAAATGCAATATTTTGACCGATTTAACCTAACTTTTCATTATTTCCTTTCATAAAACCTAAAATAAAGTGATACATAAAATTGTCAGTTCTTGACACATGCGGTTATCGAGTTTGCAACGTTGCCATACTATATTGTTGATTTTTATCACTGATAATTTCTAAGTTTAAGATTTCTGTTAGGATGAGAAGAAAAGAAGAAAATATATTTATTGGTTACATGTGAATTACAAAGAAAATATAATTATTGGTTATAGGTTAATTACAAATCAAATATTAAATATATGAATAATTATTACTTTGTTGTGTTTGTATTTGTTAAAAATGGATAAAATAAATATTATTGATGTTGTGGACATTTACAAAAAAACGGATGAAGAATTATTATCATGGTTAATGGACAAAAAATTAATTAAAAAATGTAGGTGTAAGATAGCTACATGTAGGAGAGAGTGTGTGATCCACAAAAGATGTTCTAATTCAATTAATTATGTATATTTTTGCAAAAAGTGTAGAAAAACTTACTCAATATTTAAGGGTTCTTTTTTCGAAAACAGTAATGTTAATGTACGTATGATTATATTAATCATGTGGTTCTGGGCCATTGGTAGCCGGGTTGGAGTGACAGTGGCTGCGACGAACTTGTCTAAACCCTCAGTGATTCAATTGTATAGATATTTTAGAGACGTTATTTCATGGAAGGTAATGAGAGATCAAGATTTCTTGTTAGGTAATGATTTTTTTTTTATAATATAAATGAGAGAGAAAATAAACTTTTGTTTTTATAGGGGGCGAGGGGCTCACAATACAAATTGACGAATCTGTCATTACGAAGAGAAAATATCATAGGGGAAGAGTAGTACCGGAACGCTGGATATTAGGGATTTATGACATTTCTTTAAAAAGAGGTTATATCCAGTATATTCCTAATAGAACTCGAGGTGTATTGGAGGAAATAATCCAAACACATGTCCGTCCTGGTTCTGAAATATGGACGGACAAGTTTAAAAGTTATGATAATTTAAAGAATTTAGGATATATACATAAAAGTGTCAACCACTCTAAATTTTTTAAGGATCCGGTTACTGGTGTTTGTACAAATCAGGTAGAAGGGTACTGGTCTAAACTTAAGCAATATTTAAGAAGATTAGGTGTAATGTCCAGTCCCTTTCTACCTGAGTATATAGATCAGTTTATGTGGGAGCAGATATACGGTAGTGATGCTAATGCGAAAATGAATAATTTGCTAACGCAAATTGCGGAAAAATATTAATTTTTTTTTATTTTTGAAATTAATTGTTTATTTTTTAGAATTATTTATTTGTTGTACTACTTTTGAGACTTGTTTATTTTTTAGAATTATTTATTTTTTGGTTTAATTACATGAGAATTATTTGTTTATTTTTTAGTTTTTTTTTTTATTTTTAGAATCATTGTTAATTTTTGTTTATTTTTTGCAAATATATTTTATATAATTTTTTTATTTATTTATTTAAATGAGTCCAGGCTGTACAGCATAGAGACACGAGAGAGACTTTTTATTTCAATTTGAGCTGTGTCCAGGCCGTTGGAGTCCAGGCCGTTGGAGTCTATGCCGGTAGGCGTAGCCAGGTATGGGTTTAAAATTTTTTGGTGGCGGCGAAGCCGCCACGCTAGCGGAAGTCGTTGTTTCGTTTTGAGTGAAAGAAAATTTAAAAAAAAGTTGTCTAGATATTACATGTTAAGTGATTTAATTAAATTCACTTTTTAATTTTGTATGTAGTATTTTTGAGCTGCATTTTTAAAATTAATTTGGTTGATATATTAATTTTTGCATTTTATATACGATTATTACCGTACTTATCTTTTTAAACCAAACGAAAAATTTATGATTATAAATTTAAATAATCCTTAAACTTATAATTTTATTAACAACTTGGCAACGTTTGTTATTTTTAAGACAGAAACGTCAGAAACTGTCATTTAGAGTAATTGTTCTGTGATTATAACCTGTAAAATTGGGATTTTTAATTCAATTTTTTTCGAAAAGTACTGCTTCATCCATAAATTTTTTTTCGAAAATGTACTATAGAAACTAGTTACTTTTGAGTGTTTAAAAAATTTTTGTGAATTTCGCACCTCAGGATCCTTTACCGGACCCTGAAAAAATGCTTTATTTGAATAACCAACTTGCTGAATATTAGAATAATACTTATTTAAACAATTAGGAGCTGAACAAGAATACTTAACTATACCCGGGCCAGACATTTTTGTTTCAACTATTAGAAAAGGAATTGTTGAAATATGAAATTAGATACCTATATATCGTTAAGGCTAAGAAAACAATGATAAACAAAGTCCTTAAATACTTAATATTAAATTAAAGTTAATACTTACTAATTACATCAAATCAGCATCGTTTGTTTCTTAACCTAAAAATAACTTACCTACCTATGTAACTTACATCATAAAATAAAAAAAAAGTTTTATTTTATCATCATATCCCGCCTTCCGCCATCACGTTTTTCATTTTTTACAAGGTTGTCAATGTCAATCCCGTCTTTTAAAAATCTCAGCAATAGTATGGACGTTGTATGAATAAATATAGTAGGGTAACCTTATGGACTTATCATTGGAGGACGATGGACATAGAATGTAGATGGCGATACTGTACTTATGTCCAAGTCAGGTCTTTAGGTCATGTCTGTGCTTGAGTATGAATTATAATTTAAAATCTTCTTTTTTATTTCTACTTGTCTTCGGTAATGTATTTTTATAGTTACAATTTACTATTTCAAATTATTACAAAAGCACAGAACAGGGTATTTGAAGGTCACATAAAATGCGAAAATAATCGATATAATAAAATAAACCAGTTTTTGTTTGAAAAAGATTGAATTAGTTGAGATTGGGTGGAATTTTACTATAATAGGGAACATTTTTTTCTATATTGTGGTTGGATTTTGGATATATCGCTGATGGTTAATTAAACTTGAGTTGTACGCTGTTAATTTATATTCTCTTTTATTTAATGGTATCATCAAATTAAGAATAGGACATGAACAACTGAATATTGTTCAAAATGAGACGAATAGACGAAAATAAAAAATGTTTGGATAAAATGTTCTGAAATACAGGATGTTAAGTTGAAAATTAAAAAGTAATAATGGGTAAATACCTAGGTATATAGGTAGGTAGTTATAATTTTATTATTCAATATAATTTTACTAAAATCGGCACTGACAAAATTTAACTAACAGATTTTTTTGCTGTTAGGTAAACTTATAACATAATACCAAACACGTTTAGTGAAATTATACTAAGTAATAAAAACATGTAAGCCACTAATTTTCAGTTTTCAACTTTTGACACCATTTGAAAACGAATCGAGTACCAATTTATGGTAGTCACATTTAGGAGTATTATTTTCGAAAGGCAAAATTAAAAATTTTTCATTGTTTTTTTTTTTGTACATGGAAATACTTTGCTGCATGTCCTACAATGATGAAGCTCTCAACGAAGGCGTCTTAAAAAATAAATTATAAATGATAGAAAATGCGAATGTTACATATTTGATTAGATAATTAACATTGACATAAACTTTCATTGCTCAGGACGTTAAGTGCTCAACTTTGGGTTTCGTAAAGATCAGTTACTGACTACTACTATTTTTTTCTGAACTGTTATCAAAATACTACAAAATTTAGCAGAAAGATTGCATTAATTATATTTTTCATATTTTTTCCAAAATAAGAAAGAATGTTTTTATATGTAATTGAATCTGGGTTGGGAAATCCAAACTTGAATGCTTAACGACTTAAGTCTTGAAGGCACTTATATCAAGTTAATTATCTAATCAAATATGTGACGTGGCTTTTTAAAATACCATCATTGTGCGCTCCACAGCGTGTCCATCTTCTACAAGAGAAAAAAGGAGGAAACATTTGTAAAGTTGCCTTGTACAAATGTGTACCAAAAGAGGGCAACTGGCTCTCGTAAGACTTTTTTGTTTAATCGTCTCATTATTTTAACACTAAGCGCCAGCATGGGAAATATATGTTAAAGTTAGTTTTAAGAACTTTTAACATTCAAATAAACAAAAACAATTTATAAATCTATTATTAAAATCCGTGTTGGAACAAAACATAAAATTGTTGAATTTGAAAGATAATATTCTAAAAATGGAAAGGATTTCAGTCGAGAGCCTATTGGACTGAATATTCAATTTAAAATCGCTTTTCCGGCCTATAAATCTTCAATTGTTTCAAAACGAATAAAATAAAGTAGTTCTGTCTAAAACTAAAATAAATTTGCTATCTCGAAGTCCCCATCAATTATTTCCAAACTTTTCTTTAACGTCTTAGTTGTAAGTTTTATATTACATTTTCTTTAATTTGCTATTTCTGTGGAATCATTAATTTTCATTTGCATTATTGTTCTTCTAAAAAAGCGAAATGTGACTCACGTTTTGCTTGATTGGCTTTAATTTTTGAGATAGTCAACCAGTCAAAATAAAAAAAAATTCAAAAAATAATAAGACATTAATTTATTTATTTAATCAGTTTTGTCTGAGCTAACTGAAAGGCTGTATTCTATAAACAATGAAAAAGAGTGATTGTTGTTTTGAACTACTTAAAACATTTTCACTTGAACGGCGTGCGTGATTCAATTTAAAAATACTTTCCAGAATAAAACCATGTGTTACAGTTTTGACTTCATTTATTACTAAACAGCTAAGTCATATACAAAAACGTTAATCCAAAATCTAAATTAAAAGTAATAACAAATAGCCTATCTACTAGGGTCGGTAACCAAACATATAAACAGAATGGGCGGATTTTGTTCATACTTAACATTATACTCGCGCACTGACACTTAACCTGGATTAAATATAACTGTAAATACAAATATTTTACAAACAAATATACTTTTCCAAACAGTGATAAATTATATAAAAAAAAATGTTTTTTTATAAGATTTTCTTTTATGTTCAAAGTTAGGACTTTATAATTATTGTGTCATTCATAGAATTCTGTACTAAATAAGAGCACTGATTTTGGAAATAAATTTTAACCATTTTGGCAAGTTGCTGAACCTTGTAACATTGCATAATGAAATATAAAGACTAACTGAATATGTCTGCCACAGATAGACCACTTGTAGGTCTATTGATTTCGTCTTGAGCTATTCCTAAAGAGTGGAGCTATTGAAAACTTCCTTTCAAGGTGATTTATTTCAACACTCAGAGCCAGCCGAGAGAACATTTTTTTCTTATATTCATGATCAACAGCCAAGATACATTTGAAAGTCGCTAATATATCCCTGTGACTATTTTTTTTTAATTTGTTTTCCAGTGTTGATTGATTTTTCCCTGATTAGTGTGATTTTCTTGTTCCTTAACTCAATATCTTGCAAACTGTTGATAGCTTTGATGAAATTTTGTAGCAAAGCTTGTTCAAATTTTGAAAACTATAAAAATATTCAGCTATTTTTATGGTTATAAACTTTTCCAACACTTAGTCCAATTAGAGGTACTTAGATTACATGCAACACATTTTCAGAAGCTTATTCCTTTTTTGTTTTCTACTTGGAACTTTTCAATTTATTTAAAACATTGGACATTGTTATAAGTTGTTATTAGGTATTCTTTGTTATTGTTTATATATTTTGACATAACCGCACATAACCAAAATATTGACCAAAGTCCTTAACCACTTTTTATCACCTTAATCCAAAAATTTTATTCGTACGGTTTTGTCAACTGGAATAAATTTTCATTATTATGTTTAATTTTTCATGTCTTTTATCATAAATTGTTATTTTTAAATAAATAAAGAGGTTTTTAACTATAATAGGTAGGTGATAGAGGCCATGTGCCTGAACGAAAAGAAGACGTAGATGGCGTATCTGCATAGCATTAAAAATTGACTACTTCATTAAATCGTCACTAGATGCCGCTCGAGATTGCATCCAACACTTTTTACTGTTGCATTATCCTACTATATTATCTTCATACAACGGTATGGACATTGTATGGATGGTATGGTGCGCATGTAGATTGATAAAAAATTAAAATAAAATGAATTTGAAATAACTATCATCTCATGAAAGTTTACGGAAACCGGCAACATCGCTTTCATACTATTGCGATGGTGGCGCTAACTAATAGTATGCTGGGAACTACGCCGTGTTGACAGTGGCGGGCATTTAATAAATTCATCTTGTTTTATATTAATTTATCTATGGCTCTGGCCGTTAAATGTCAATATTGTCAATTGTCAGATAAAAAGTGAAGTGAGGAACAAAATTCCTCTTTTTTTTCTTCTTCTAACCCATAGAGGTTCTAATTGTACAATTCTTATAAGCTCACCAGCAATTTAATGAGTGTCTTGTGTCTTGTTAATCCCATGTCCAAGTCAAAACACAACGTCAGATAACGTCAAATTTTAGACTGTTTTTAACATAGATAAACTAATAAAGAAGATGGTCGGATTCTGTGTTAATCTTTGGAAACGTAGTGCTGCGAATTAGTATGGAACGGATCTTTTTTGAACTACACTGGCTGATTGATTTGTCAGTAAGAGGCATAAAAAAAGAAGAGTGTTAACGTAACCGCGGTTCATTTAAATATCTTTATTTATTTATTTATATTTTTTGGGGTTCATTACTTTAAAAAGAAAAACTAATATTTATATTAAAATATTGTATTTAACATATATATTAGTTTTTTTTAGTTATAAAACCCCAAAAAATGTATACAAAAATGTAGACAAAAAATATTTACACTGAAATAAAATATAAGACAAATATATTTAAATTATTTATTATACAGTAATACATACATAATGTGTTAATAAAGAACAATTGTAAGTGAAATGAATACTAGTTTCCCCACATTCTTGTAAAAATGGACCATACTTTAATGGGCGTCAGGTGTTTCCTATAAAAACAAAACAAAAAGTGTACATATATGTTATTGAACAATTTCTCTTATCAAAATGTTGACCATTTTTATAAAACTAAGTTATTTTTAATTATTTGACGAAGATTGAGAACGACGCAGTCAACATATCCAACAATTTTGTCATTAACTGTATCAAAAGTGAGTTTTTCGGTTAGAGCTATTTCGTCGAACATTAAAATACAATTCCTATCAATTTCTGGCATTTTTCTAACAATTTCTTTAAATCTGGAAAACACTGAATCATTTATCCCCGTTTCAAAATGTAAATCACTTAAAATTTGTTGGATAGTAGATTTACTAGGCAACGAAATGCATTTTCTTAAAAAATTATATGCTCTTGGACCATTTTTATATAATGCTAAAGAAAAAATTTTATTCTGAGTGGTCCAAGAGGGTTTCTTTCTCTTACAATTTTCTAAACTACTTTTAAAGAATTTAATTCCAATCGGATCTAATTTATTATTAAAATCTGAAAATAACTGAGTTTTGGATAATTCAAAGGCTTTCTTGATTTTATTTTTGGAAACACGTAGAGTAGAGCTTTCTTTAGCTTACAAATTCTAACGTTTTGTTCTCTATTAATAAAATACAGCTTTTTCTCTTTGGGACTTAAATTTTTGACTTTACTTTCATTTATTTGTTGCAAAACAGTTTTTCTCCGTTTGGAGGGTTGTTCAAATTGTACATCACTAATATTTAGTTTACGTTTCCAACTAATTTCTTGATTTTCGTTGCTGATTAGCAAATCTATCTTATGCTGATGTGTTTGTGCTTCAGCCTCAATATATTCTGAAATCTGGCTCTCGGGTTGTATATTTGAACTGGATGCATAATTATCTAAAGAAATTGGTACAGAATGTACAACTAGTCGTTTACGTTTTGAGGAAACCTTACTAAAAGACTGGCAAAAAATGATCTTCACAAAGATAGCGAATATTATTATCATCTAAAGTTAAATTGAAATTCTTAAACCAGTTCTGGCGAACTTTAACATCAGAAGGAAAATGAAAAAATGCTTTATTTGATTAACCAACTTGCTGAATATTAGAATAATACTTATTTAAACAATTAGGAGCTGAACAAGAATACTTAACTATACCCGGGCCAGACATTTTTGTTTCAATATTAGAAAAGGAATTGTTGAAATATGAAATTAGATACCTATTATATATCGTTAAGGCTAAGAAAACAATGATAAACAAAGTCCTTAAATACTTAATATTAAATTAAAGTTAATACTTACTAATTACATCAAATCAGCACCGTTTGTTTCTTAACCTAAAAATAACTTACCTACCTATGTAACTTACATCATAAAATAAAAATAAGTTTTATTTTATCATCATATCCCGCCTTCCGCCATCACGTTTTTCATTTTTTACAAGGTTGTCAATCCCGTCTTTTAAAAATCTCAGCAATAGTATGGACATTGTATGGATGGTATGGTGCGCATGTAGATTGATAAAAAATTAAAATAAAATGAATTTGAAATAACTATCATCTCATGAAAGTTTACGGAAACCGGCAACATCGCTTTCATACTAATGCGATGGTGGCGCTAACTAATAGTATGCTGGGAACTACGCCGTGTTGACAGTGGCGGGCATTTAATAAATTCATCTTGTTTTATATTAATTTATCTATGGTTTTTAATGAGCTCACTTTTATATTTGCCTTGAAGCTCAATTTGTGATTTTATTATTAATAGAAGTTATTTATTATTTTTATAGGTCGATTAATTATTTTTAAATATAGTTACATAAAATGGCAGCTCAAGTTGAAACTAAAGAATCCGATCTATTAGATATGGCAAAATATTATGAAAATTATATTCTTATTGATGTTGGTGCTAATTTAACAAGCAAAAAGTATGGTAGAGATTTAGATTCTGTAATCCAAAGAGCTAAAGATTCAGGTAAATGTATGAAAGACCCAACGGAATTGATAACTTACTAAAATATTTTTCAGGAGTACAAAAAATCATGGTTACAGGCACTTCAGTAAAAGGAAGTAAAGAAGCACTTAGATTGACTAGAATCTATCCCAATACGTTGTATTCAACAGCAGGTATTTTTTTTCATTGCCATATCACTTTCATTTCATGAAAACAATTCATTATTAAAACTGAACATATTTTTTAAGGAATACACCCTCATGATGCAAAGTCATATACAGATGAATCTTGGGCTGAATTAAAACAGTTAGCTAATAACCCCGAATGTGTAGCGATTGGGGAATGTGGATTAGATTATAATAGAAATTTTTCAGACCCAGAAGATCAAAAGATAGTGTTTAAGAAGCATGTAAGTAAATTATTCCAAAAAAAAGGGACAATTCAAAAGCAAGTCTTTTCATATTTTTCATCACCTACGAATATGTACTAAATAATAAAATGATGACCAAAATTGTTAAATACACATGTTTCATTAAGTCTTACAGCAAAAGGTAAAATTGCATTAGGGTTAAGTAAGTTAGGGTGACCTAACATACAGTATTTTCAAAGTCTGTCCAGCATTCGATCCTGTACAGCAAATGTATAGCAAAACACCATTATTGTCCAATGTAATACATAATTTACTGCATCCAGCATTGGGTCAAAAGAAATATGGCCACCATAAAGAAAATAAGTACTTCTGAGTTTCAAAGAACAAAGCAAAAGAAATTTAAAAAAATCAGAATTATAAAAAAAAAAAGAAAGTAAGTTAAAACTACATCTATTAAGCATTTTTCCCAATAAGAATTTAAAAACAATTATTTACTGTTTCTTCTGCTACAAGCTGATATTGAAAGAAAATATTTATATTATTATGATAACAGAATAAAAATATTGTTAAAAAATACAAGATATTTAAAAATAAACATCAATTAAATCATATATGTTACAAGCATTCAGTTCAGCTATATATTTAGTTAAATGAAAATGGTTATAAAAACAATATTTTACTATATTATGCGTGCTGCAACAAATTATTTTTTTTGTATTAGTCTAATGCAGAGATGACCTTAAAAAAACATTTAAAACAAACTTTAGTTTTCTTTGTATTTCAGAAAATATTTAAGAAATATCATTTGGCTGAGTAATAATGTCCCTAAAATCATTTAAATTGTATGCATGCTAGTTTTAATCTACCTACTTAGCAATATATAAATATTTGTAGATAAAAATATTTAATTGTTCAAAAATATATTTACTGACATTCTGTTAGTTATCTATTCTAATGACTATTACTATTTGTATTTTTGTTAACTATAGAGTTGTTATCATTACAATACAATGCTTTTTGACTTATTTTTGTATGATTTTATTTATTTATTTATTTATTTATTTATTTATAATACAATACTCTACAGGTCATAAACCCAATTACAGAGCAGGAATTGACAGAATATAATTATTAATAGATCACATTTTTTATATGAATGTTAAGCACATAAAAAGAACTTGTATTTCGTAATAGGTAACAAATTAACTAAGATAAAAAGTGAGATTTTATATCTGACAAATTGCAACTAAATATATCAAGTTCATTGACAATAGAATTTGTTACTGTACACATGGTATGGAGCGGAGAATTTTCCAGAACATTTGTGCGAGATGTATTTATATAAAAAGTATTCGGGTGTCTGGAAGAAATTCTGGGAATGCAAATATTAAACTTTTCTAATAAGGTTGGGCAGTCAATAATACTTTTAATAATTTTATAAGTTACTACTACACTATAATAATCACGCCTTCTATCGAGACTGAAAAAGTTATGCTTTTGTAGTAATTCAGAGTGAGGTGTACCTATTAGAGGATAAATGCCATCAGTTTTCAGGCTTAGCAGTTTTAAAAATCGTCTTTGAATTGCTTCTATTCGATCTATATGATACTGATAAAAGGGGCTCCACACAACCGAAGCATATTCTAACTTTGATCTTATAAAAGCATAAAATAGAGTTTTTAAGGTAGAGGTTTCTTTGAAATCACTACTGCTACGTGCAATTAATCCGTACATTCGATAGGAGGAGGATACAACATTATCAATATGCTTATTAAATGATAGTGCAGTGTCAAACGTGACGCCAAGATCAGTAAATGTTTTCGGTCGCTCAAGAGCAACGTTTTCTATTGAATAATTAAATATTAGGATATTCGTTTTTAAACTGTACGACATAACTTTACATTTATCTGGGTTTAGTGACAAGTTATTTTGATAACACCATTCAACAATCCGTGTTAGGTTTGCTGAAAGGTTCTCGCAATCACCTATCTTCTCTACGAGGCAGTATAGTTTTAGATCATCAGCATACAAAAGCAAATTTACATTTATAACATCTGCAATATCATTAATGAACATAATAAAAAGGAGGGGTCCTAGATTCGACCCTTGTGGAACACCAGAAGAAGCACTATATTCAGCAGACCTAAAACCATTAAGCTGGACATATTGCTTTCGATCCCATAGATAGGATTGAAATAGTGAAATTAAAGAAGGAGATAATCCAAAAGCTACAAGTTTGTTAAGCAGAATGCCATGATCAAGTCTGTCGAAGGCCTTAGAAAAGTCTGTGTAAATAACATCAGTATGGGCTCTGTTATCAATAGATTCAGCAATATATTGGGTAACGGTCAGGAGGTTGGTGACTGTTGAACGACTTTTCATGAATCCATGTTGATTTATACTTATATTACAACTTACATGACGATATATAACTCGCTCTAACAGGATTTCAAAAACCTTTGCAAAGTTGCATATAATAGAGATAGGTCGATAATTTGAAATATCTTGTCTATCTCCTTTCTTGAAAATGGGACAGACCTTTGAGGATTTCCAGACCTCTGGTATTGTAGCCGATTTTAAACAAATGTTAATTAGTATGGAGAGGGGACGAGCAAGCACAGAAGAACAATCTTTTAGGACAAAAGCTGGAATATCGTCTGATCCGGTGGTCTTTTTTGGCTTAAGTGATCTTAGTGCCTCATATACTTCCTCTTCACTGAAGCTTGTAATATTTAAAAAGTGATTATTATTTGTCCCAGAATTGGGTTGAAAAGGGGAAGAAATAGTATAGGACTGTTTAAAAAGATTTGCAAAACCATTTAGAATATTAGAAGGCCCCTCCAGCATTTGACCTTCAAAATTCAATACTTGTGATATTTTGGAACTACCTCGTTTATTATTTATAAATGCCCAAAATCTGTTTGGGTTGTTATGTATTTCTTCCTCAGTTTTGCCTAAAAATTTCTTGTATGCAACATCAACATCATGCTTTATTTTCGCCCGAAGGTGTTTAAAATCTTCAAAGGCCTGTAAATTGCTTTCACGCTTGTATTTGCGCCAAATTCTACTTTTAGCCTGTAAATCTTTAATAATGCTACCATTGTACCAAGGAGGATATTTATTTTTGGATTTAAGTGTATATTTGGGACAGCAACGATCGAAAACATATATAAAGGTATCACCTTTAAAATTATTATTGGAGGATAGTTTTCATTGAAATTCCACATATATTTGCCTTAAAGTAGTTTTGTTGACTAGAAAATACCTAATTTGTGTTAGTCTCATCAAAGATTTTATTTAGTTTTGGATTTATATATTACAAATCTTGCAGTACTAATTGCTTTATTCCTTTAATTTTAATATATATTCCTATAATCTTTAGAATGAATTGTTCTCTCTAATTGTTTCGCTAACTGCACAATTCAAAAGTATATGGGAGCAAATATGCTCAGAACATATGATTTTTAAAATAACCAAAAAAGGTTGACGGCTGTGTGCCCATAGTTTAGATTAAAAAGGAAAGACTTGTATTTCGTGCAAAAAATTTTTAATTATTAAATGCAAAGCGCTTTTGGTTTGGTGTCATCAACTTGAGTTGAGTTGGTTAAACAATAAAAATAAAAATGAATGTATAAATCAATTTATTTTAAAATATTATTAATAGTAATAATTATGATTTAGCAAGTTGTGAATCTCCAGAAATATTTATATTTTGGAGTAAGGATGACTAAGAACTTGGTGGATATGCTGGTTTGTGGACAATAAGCACTGATGAAGGCACCATGCCGAAAGCGCTTTGCATTTAATAATTAAAAAGTCTGATGTGTCCAACACATGACTTTCCTATCTAGCTATTATAGGCTTTTTCCGGTTATTTTGTACAACCTATTGCAGCACCTCTATAAATGTTTAGAGGATAAACTAAATATATACATTTTCCACATACATCTACCTCGAAACATTTTTCTATAGATATTCATTGAAAACGAAAATACTGAAAAATTTAAATTTAGCACTTTTCCTACAATTTTTCCATTACGGTCCATTTTAGAAAAATCATGTATAAACAAAAATTATAGAGATCGATATCGCAAAGAACTTTTAGTTCAACAATTTTCATAAAAATCAGAATTTTGCACATTTTGTCAAAGGACCCCACAATAATCTTATGGAAATTGGGTTTCTGTCAAATTATCTGAATTTTTGATATGTTGTAGATTTTGTCATCCTGAACAAAAGTCTCCATGGTCACAAAGTGCTAAAATGAATATTTTGGCAGCTACAGAGCTGCCAAAGCTCCCCTGACCCGTTGCAAAACTATTCATTTTCAATACTATTTACAGATGTCAAAAGAATATTTTGATTATTCTAATATATAGGGTAATGTTTTTGAGGTCACTGGATTCAACCCTCATGTAAGATTGGACAAATTGACAGCTGTCAATTCACGGTCAACGAGGAATATAAAAGTAAATATCCTCGTTTCACATTGAGAGTTTGGGTTTTTGAGGTCGTTGACAGTTGGCAGCTGTCAACTGTCAATTTGTCCACTCTAATATGAGAATTGAATTCAGCGACCTCAAAAACTTAAACTCTCAATGTGAAAAGAGGATATTTACTTTTATATTCCTCATTGACTGTAAATTGACAGCTGTCAACGGTTAATTTGTCCAATCTGACATAAGAATTGAATTCAGCGACCTCAAAAACCCAAACTCTCAATGTAAAAGAGGATATTTACTTTTATATTCCTCGTTGACAGTGAATTGACAGCTGTCAACGGTCAATTTGTCCAATCTGACATGAGGGTTGAATCCAGTGACTTCAAGAACATTACCATATATATTAGAATAATTAAAATATGCTTTTGACATCTGGAAATAGTATTGAAAATGAATAGTTTTGCAACGGATCATGGGAGCTTTGGCAGCTCCGTAGCTGCCAAAATATTCATTTTGTCACTTTGTGCCCATGGAGACTTTTGTTCAGGATGACAAAATCTACAACCTATCAAAAATTCAGACAATTTGACAGAAACCCAATTTCCATAAGATTATTGCGGGGTCCTTTCTCGAATACGGACCATTTCAGGAAATTTTGACATAAAACAAAAATTATAGATAATAATATTAAAAGTAACTTTTATTTGAACAATTTTCTTCTCCAAACATAAATAACATATAAAATATAAAAACAGCCTCCCATAAAGTACCCCCCCCCCCCCCCCAGATGTTCCGACTTTGTCCAAAATCTAATCATATCACGCCAGGCCGAAATAAACCTTAAGTTTAAAATTAAATGTTTTTTCCTTTATCCGTTTTTGAGTTTACTTCAAAATTCGAAATTTATACATTTTCTCAAATATCTCGAATACGGTCCATTTTAGAGAAATTATGTATAGAATAAAAATTATAGAGAATTATATTACAAACAACTTTTATTTGAATAATTTTTATAAAAAATTAGTTTTTCTACATTTTGTCAAATTTCTCGAATACGGACCATTTTAGGAAAATTTTATATAGTACAAAAATTATAGATAATATTAGAAGTAACTTTTATTTGAAGAATTTTCTTCTCCAAACGTAAATAACAGATATATTCCATAAAATATAAAAATGACCACCTATAAAGTACCCCCAGATGTTCCGACTCTGCCCAAAATCTAATCAGTTCATTGGACGCTGGAATAAAGCTTAAGTTTAAAATTTGGTGTTTTTCTTTGTATCGGTCCATGAGTTATGGTGGACACAGACACAGACATCATCGCGAAAATAGTCAAAACGGATTCAGGGGACCTCAAAACGAAAAAATCCGTCGAAAACTCGAGGTCGAAAAAATCATGATTCCTATACTTTCCTTATATCTGTATACAGATAGGAAAGTAAAAATTTTTGCTTGAAATACAAGTCTTTCCTTTTTAATTTTTTAATCATATGATTTTTGCCATTTTTAGCTGCAATTCTTTTATAAAATAAAATAAAAAAATAGTGAACTTCGAAAATTTGAAAAATTAGTAAACGTTGGGTATCCCCTGCTGCTGCGGTCTTCATGGTGTAGTAGCCCTACACGTCACTGCATGTAAGTTTAATTTCATTTTGTAGGTTGAATTAGCAATTGAAATGACCAAACCAATATTTGTACATGAAAGAGATGCTCATGAAGACTTACTCAAAGTATTGGACGAGTTTCATTCTAAACTACCTCCTGTTGTAATACATTGTTTTACTGGTACTTTGGAGCATGCCTTAACATACCTGGATAGAGGATTTTACATAGGACTAACAGGTAATATCTACCACGAAAATTAGATAATCAATTTTGGAAACTGGTAAAGTCAATCTTAAATAGTTATTTTTTTGCATTAAATTTAACAATTCATTAAAAAGTTTCTGCTATAAACTTTAGCAGTTTAAAAAATAATTATTACCGGCGCATGCGGGGCTAGCTGTTCGTGGGATTTACATGGGCAGAAATCTAAAGAAAACAAAAACCGGCGGGACCACACCGCCTTCAATTTTGATCAAACGGAGCCTGCCATCCAAAGCGATCAACCTCCCTCAACCTCCCAAGTGAGACAACCTCACAAGAGAGAAAAGAGAACAAAAGAAAGAGGTGAAGGGAGAAGAGAAGAGGATCATCATCGCTCCATCTTCTTCATCCCCCTATCATCACTCATCGGCGAGGGAAGCTCTCCTCAAAACAGAATCTAAACGAAAGCTACCTTCCCTACCTCAACTGGAACAACCTGGTGGAAGGGACGACCCACTGAGGCATGGACTCAGTGGGCAGAGGTTCGGTGGTATCTTCGCTACCTCGATCAGGGCATGACACTGAAGGAAGTGAAAAAGAAAGCTGTGGAGCACAAATCCCAGGGAGAGGGAAGAAAAACCAATCCCAAAGATCTGAAAAGAAAGCGGGCCGGGAATAACATCACACCACCGCAAAGGAAATAAAAGGAAAGGAAAGTAGCCGATACTTCCGCTTCCGGCAGTTATGCAACTTTCGTCAAGACGGAGCGGGTATCGATCCTACCTAAGGGGTTTCCTAAGACCATCCTTAGTGCGAACGAATAAACCCTAGTAGAAATGCTTGCTGGATGGGAGCATAAGCTCCAATTCGGAGGCATCCACTTCCGGCCAGGAATGGTCTTAATCGATTTTGAAACCCCACAGTCAGCAGAATGGCTCAGGGCAAAAATCCCACACCTGAGCAACTAGAAGGGAGTGGAAATGGAGATATGTGCGGGAGACGACATCCAGAAAGCACATACAGCCACGCTCTTTCTCCCAAGAAGTCAAGGACAGCCTGTAGAGAAGCTTCTACAGTTAATTGAAGCGCATAATGTGGGGCTATCGACCACACTGTGGAAAATCGTCAGCCAAAAAGACGAGGGCAAAGGCCAGATCCTTAGGTTAGGAATAGATTACCTATCCTGCCAAAGGATCAAGGATAATGGATACACTATCCACTATCGATTCAGGAAAATCCCCGTACACGGCCTTCAAAAGAAAGAGGAAATAAACGAACTGGGAGAAGAAACAGAACCAACTCTTAGTACTTCCAAAGATGAGACTGATGTAGAGAGCATAGAGAGCCTTAACCTCTCAAATCTCTGCGTAGACTCATCTGAGGATGTAGAAATAGATGAAGAAGCAGAAGAGGGGGATATGGAGCACACCCTCACTGATGGTGACGGCACCCCCATTAAAGGAGAGTAAAATGGCGTGCATCGACATCGCCCAAGTGAATGTCCATCACGCCAAGGAAGCCTCGGCTGTGATCTCCAGGACATTAACTAAAGATCAATTAGGGATCGTACTGATCCAGGAACCGTGGGCCTACTGAAACCAGGTAAAACGGGTTGCATGTAAGGATGCAAGGGTAATTTATTTATTTATGTAGCACTTACAGAATGTAAAATTCGAAATAGTACAGTATATCTAACCTAACACAAACAATTGTAGAGTTAAAAACAATATAAAATAAATTAAAAAATACGTGTGGCACTCGGGGACTGCCGCGGTAAAGCTATTGCATAGCATTTTTTATCAACTTTTGCAATTATAATTATTTATTTTATTTATGCAGTATTTTTTTCTTCTTTGATATTAATTCAAGTTACACTTTATGAGCGTGGTGACCGATAAGAAAACAATTTTTTTTCTTTTATTGAACAAATGATAAGTTAATATTGTTTAAAATATTTTTATTATTTTACAATACATGTATGTTATTCAGGAGTTTTTATCATTGAAACTATGGGTTTATGGTAACTGAAATAAGTTTGAGACTTGATATCCTCTAAATATCTGAAAAATATCGCGTCATTGGTGGTCCCATATTTTGTTGTGGATTCTTGTGGATCATTATTCATTTTCAAATTCAATTTTTCCGAAATTGTGTCTAAAAGAGATAGAATCAGATAGCAGCTAGTCTACACGCATACGTCTAGTCGCACGCACACAAACACGGTGCCGAAGTCTGCCGAACTGAAACGACGTTAGACGATGTACGGCTTTCAACGCCACACCGCTATGCCGGTCGGAGTGGGGGGTGTTAGGTTTATTTTCGTTACGGAATTTCTTGATTCGGTCGCCGCGCTCAAAGCCCGGGATAAAAGCTATGCAATAGCTTAAAAATATATATAAAATATTAAGAAAAGGAAGAATAACACAACACCGCGGGACGACATGAGTAAAATGTAGACATTCAGGAGTTGCAAGTACCTTTTCGCGCCAAAATATTATAATTAAATATGTCACAGTCTGAGTAAAATTTGTTATAGTTCTAAGCGATCAATAAATGCACTTTGTCCTTAATTGGTTCTGTGTCTTTTTACATTCAAAAGTGATGTGTGCCGAGTCCGTCGGACAGGAACCAATAGTTGAACTCTCTCAAGCAGTGACCCGCCCTTGATCGAACCACCTATTAATTTAGTCAGGAATTGGAGTAAAGCCTATTTTCTTCTGCATTCCAAGGTCTGCATTCCGCAAAGCATTAATCTTATTTGATAACATGTGTTATGGCTATGAAATTGGTGTTTAAAGAGCAGGTATTTTACGAATTTACGTTGCACCCTTTTAATTCTATTGATATGCCAGGTGTAAGTAGGTTGCCAAATAACAGAACAGTATTCCAGGACACTTCTCACCAGGCCATTGTAAAGTGTCATGATTGCTTTTTGTGTCATTCACGTACCTAGTATGCATCTTGATGAAGCCAAACATTCTGAGGGCTTTGCATACTATGGAATGTATATGGTTGTTAAAAGATATTGTTGTATCAAAAATAATGCCCAGATCAATAACTGTCGAAGATCTATCTAGGTTGACGCTGTCAATACTGTAACAGTTAAGAGTAGGATTGTGGGATCTTGTAAAATACATGGTTGTGCACAATATTTATAGAAAGAGCATTATTTTTACACCAGGTATTATCGATATAATGGAAATACCTCTATAATTCTTTATATCGTTTTTATCCCCTTTCTTGTAAACTGGCATAAGGTGGGAAAACTTCCAAGTAGGTGGAAATATTCCACTATCAAATGATTTTTGGAAAATTTGGCTAAGTGGGATTGTCACATCACCCCTTCAAGAACGACTGTGGTACCCCATCAGGGCCCGTAATTTTACTAGAGTCAAGACTTTTTATTTTAGAAGATACTTTACAAGGAGTGAAAGTGTGTATGGCTAAAGTGGAATAAAATGGCACAACGGGAAGATCAATTTTTTTTGGTTTAAGTCGTCTTTAGAATAGCACGTTTGGAAATAAGATGCGAAGGCCTTTGCAATTTCTTCAGGAGCACTGATTTCATAGTTTCCGTATTTCATTAAATTAGGCAATCCATAATCTCGCTGCAAACTTTTAATAAATGTCCAAAAATGTTTTATGTTTTGTGGAATTAAGTGCTCAGAGTTTGAAATAATCATTAAGTAACACCAGTCAGTTCGAAATTTTACTTCGCGCCTTTTAATGGAGTATTTAATGTAATCACTTTGAAGCTTAGTCCTTTGATATATTTGATGGAGCTTATTCTATTCAACAATCAATTTTTTTAATACAGCGTCAAACCACAAATGATATTTGTTACCTCTTATCTTCTTCTTTGGGACATATTTGTCGATACCCATTTCTCTGATGCTGGGAAATTGTTTTACAATTTCGTTGATGTCATGGTAATGAGTTATGAATGACCAGTCAGTGTTTATAAAGAAATTGTTTAGATCAGTGAAGTTGGCTTCATGGAACTGATGAACATTAACTGGTTTATTATCTCTGAGTAAGCGAGGTTTTTTATTCGTAAAGTTAACCAAAAGTGGGAGATGTTCAGGATCAATTTTCACCAGTGAAAAATCGCTAGATTTGCATTCAATTGATCCAAACTCGTCCACAAATATAAGATCCAGTATCCGTTGGAGCGAATTGAAAACATAGTGATGAAGTACTCAGGACATGCATAATGGTAAGTAATAATTTTAAATATTCTTGTCTTTCAGAATTCATAACGCGCGATCTCGTTCCAATTCGAGCATACCTGGAATTGGGGACGAGGCGACAAGACAGTAATAGCTTCCAGTTACTTCGCCGGAGATGGGCCTGTACCACCCCCGGAAGTATCGAGGCTAGTGGAGTACTGCCAGAGAAGACATCTGCCATTACTTCTTGGATGCGACGCCAACGCGCACAGCACCGTATGGGAAAGCAACGACACCAATCACAGAGGTAAGTAACTTTTAGAATATGTTTTTAATAAGAACCATATTGTGCAAAATGTTGGGAATACTCCAACATTTGTAACAAGTGCAGGAAGTGAGGTATTACATATCACATCAAGTACACCAAGTATTAAAGATCTAGTTACAAACTGGAGAGTATCGAGTGAACAATCTCTATCTGATCACAAGATAATTGCGTTTACGTTAGAGAGCGACATTCCTGAGACGATCCTCAGGAGGAATCCTAGAAAAACAGAGTGGGACAAATACAACACCATTCTTAAACAAAATTTGGCACGTATCCAGACACTGAGACATTCTTGCTGCATTAGCGACAGAAGATAGATCTTTTTGGTCACAGTGTATTAACAGTATTAACACCCCATTCCCAACATATAACATAACATATTACAATTTTAAAAGCCAGTTGAAATATCCTTAAGAATATACATAGTAAACTTTTATTATTTAAAATTATTACTTTCAAAGTCGAATAACAAAATGATACTCAAAATATAAATTTATTTCTTTTTATTTATAATTGTGTTGCAGGCTACCTGTGTAAAGACAAATCTGATGTTGGGGTAAGAAAACTGTTAGAATCAGGATCTCTACCTTTGGATAGACTTGTTGTAGAAACAGATGCACCATTCATGTATCCAAATACTCGAGCTTCAAAGTTACCTGACAATGTTAAGGATAGTTTAACAGAACGGTAAGTACAAGATTTTGATTAAATATAATATAATGAGTATGTCAACCAAAAGCTCTGTTATGGCGGAGTAAACTACAGAACAGCTACATTTGAAAATCAAATAATTTGGTATGTTGCCAATTTTACATTCGTGTGCATAGGGAGCGATGTTGCAATTTTTCACTTACTGTCTATTACATCTCTGTAGATCCAGCATCTTATGGACAGTACATTTTTAAATCTTAACACAAGTTTCCTGAAATAATTAGGCAAAAATAAAAGAAAGTATTTTGCGTTTTAGCTTTTAGATACTATAAAAAATGGTGGAAAGTTCATAACTTTTAAATATTTGTTAAATATCACTTATTAAAATATTATACATTTAAAGTAAAACAAACTATAGACTTTCCACAATCCTTTACCATACTCTGAATCCATTTTTAAAAACAATTTCTGAAAATATTATCGTTCAGAGCTGTATTTGTTGTGATAAAAAAGTCGCCGTCACTTGTCATTGACAATGCGTTGAACTTGGAATTAAGGAATATATGCTTAGGATGGGAAGACCTTAAGTATTCAGTATTAATTGATAAAGGAATCAAAAACGAACTGTTCTGTCTGATAATATAATACGATCTTTACTTTTTAAATATAATTATTGTGTTGTTTTATAAAATAAAGTAGTTTATTTTCGATATTCTTACAATAACAAAAATTGGACTGTACCGATTCTATTATGAAAGGTGAAACAGCAGGGAACATAATTCCTGCTCTTTGCTCCGCTTTGGAAAAATAATTCTCCCAACGTGAACTGCCTCTAAAATTAAATATGAGTCACAATAGATCCCAATAGGAATCGTTAAAATTCCATTTATTTTACACTCAAGATATGAAAATGATTTTTTTAACACGTATTTGTGTATTGAGGATGACCAAAATAAAATATTTATGTACATTAATGTTATTTATTAGAGCATGTACCTACACTTAAAACAAAATTATGTGTAATAATGGTAGATGCTTCATAAATTAAAAAAATATAATCTGTCAACAACATAACACGTACCTATAAAAATTTTCAGGAAATCCATTAATAGAAATGATAACCTAGATTCGCAAAACTATACCTGATGCAAACTTGTATATTCCTATTAATTTTATTTTTAGCAATTCTGATAATGACCTTCAAAATACTTCATATAACTAATTCCGTTTGTTTTTATGTTTATTTTTAGATTTTTTTTGTTTCCTTGTTTACTATTAATCGTTTGATAAAAATAGTCGTTTCCAAAAATTGCGAAAAACTTTCAACTTATTTAATTTATTATTAAGTAATTTAATATTTAATGTATGTGTTAAAAACAAAGTTGGGTATTTTTTAAATCTAATTTTATTTTAATAAATAGTTTGGTGGCATATTTTTCAAAAATTTTCATACAAATCACTCAAATTCATATTAAACCTAATACCAAATACATTTTTTATGCAAATTTTAATCTATGAATAAATCAGGAAAACAATTTTTTAGATTTATTTTTTAGACAAAAATCTTACATTTTTCTAGTCCTATATTATCATTTTTAGCGTTATTATGTACTTTTGGGAAAACACTTGAAACAACACGATTTCTACTTTGAAATATGAGCACTCCTCGAACATTTTAAATAAAAAGGTCGTGTGGAACCTTGTTTGAAAGAGATTTTAATTCGCTCTTCACCAATATAAAGTTTTTTAAATTTTTAAAATGAAAACTTTACATAGAATGAAGCCCTTAATGTACACGTACCTTAAATTATAGGGACTGCATTTTATACTATGCACTGTTACTAAATAGTATATTATTAAACGAGCAATTTATGGTAGCCATTATTCACCTGAGTGAATAATGGCCATAAATTGCGAGTCTAATACTATACTTTGTCCACGACCATTATGGTTTCTTTATTAAATAAAAGTTAAATGTAGAATGGATTTTCGATTTTTCGATTTTTTGATTTATCGATTTTTTGATTTTTCGATCTAGAAAATATCGTTATGAAAAGTATCGCCTATCTTTAGTTATCTACCGGAATGTGCCAGAATTACAAAAGCGTGAATTATCATAATTCACTCCGTGATATATGGGTACTATATGCTTTTAGTTAGGAGGTAGAATATTGATTTATTATTAAGTGGTCGTGGACAAATATATTTATTTATATTGTACACACAAGTGAATTATTTGACTCATACATCAAATTCAGAGGACGTCGCACACTTAACAATAGGCTCATTTATATATTTACATTTGAACTTGAAGATTTACATCAAATAAATACGTGAAGTACAGTATTATTGATCTTTTGAATGTAAGTGAAAACAATGTACTGTGGTTACCTTCTTATAAATAAATTAAAATGCTTCATCTAAACATATGAAGTCGTAGAAGTGCTACATAATAATTTTTTATAAAAATTTTGACTTTAATTTCTAAATTTTTGACTTTAATCTCTAAATTTCGACTTCCAACTTAGAATTTCAACTTCAAACTTAGAATTTCGACTTTAATCTCGAATTAAAAAAAAATCTACGATTTGTTCCATAAAGTTGGATCATTATGGGATTTTTTTTAGTATTGGGATTGAAAAAAAAAGTTAAAATAGCACATATTAAAGTTGGCTAGGTACTGCTTTAGGTTTCTGTTTTAAATGCGAATTTGACAGAAAATTAATGTCAGGAGCCAACTTTGATATGGGCGAGATAAGGGACTTAAAGATAGGAATCGCTCATAAGAAGCACATGCTTAACAACGACCAGCTCGAACGCAGTTAACATCTGACCCACTATGTCACTATGTGGCGCTTTAATCGATATCAAACAAATAACGCAGCGGGAAATTTGAAAACGCGCTAAAGGTTATAAATATGCACTTTCATGTTCTGGTAAATAAATTTAAACAATGTTAATTACGGTAAATTATTTATTAGAAAGAATACTTATAAATCTATTCATGGCAAAAATATTTTTTAATTTTTGATTGTTATTTGTGTAACCTTAATATTTTTGTTATTTTCCAAATGAGTGGCCAGTGGTGTCTCAATTTTAAAAATATTGATTAAAAACACCATAATGGGAATTCAGATATTTTTCTTCCTATATCAAATCTTCTCTTCAACGTATTGAAGCTATTTTCTTGCTCTAAAACATTAATAATAAATAAATGTGACAAAAGTTGGCTACTGTTTGTGTTACTTACATGGCTAGAATTTGCTTTGGTAAATTAAAGAACGCCACATTGGGGCTGTTTAATTTATTCATGTGGCATGTGTTACCAATGCAATACATGCTCCAACTCATTATTGTAATATTCCAGAATATAGTTATTTTCCTCAAATTCCACACAAAAATAACCACAACTATTTCGCTTAGATCACCTTACAATATAAACCATTCATGAACTCAACATTTCAAATGCAGGATTCTACGATATACATTCAACTGATTATCATTTATTTTTACAAACGTTCACTACTGTCTTGTCTACAAACGACGTGCACCTTTAGTTAACATCTTAGATGCATAGATGACGCTATCGTCGCTGCGGTCGTTGCATTTCCTATCTTTATGTCCCTGATCTGTGGATATGGGCGATTTTAAGTTTTTAAATAAGCAGATGTGATTGCCCTACGACGTTTTTTCCAATCGTAATAATTAAAAAGTCCCATATGAATTCAATTTTATGGCACACACTGTATATTGTGTGGGCCCTTCTATGCCTTGGAAGCTCGTTGTTAATTTAAAGGTAGGTGTTGTTCTATTCATCTTCAGAACATGTCCGATACGAAAATATTTATGAATTATTTCTCATCTACCAGTCTGAAATGTACCACTGAATAATTTTTAATTATAATAAAAATTCTTAACTGTTGATTCCTATGGCAAAACAATCATTCTAAAATTGGTATAAACAAACATAAATACAAAAGACGTTAAAGTTAAAATTATCTTCGCTACTTCAACGGCGTCATTATGATAAATAAACGTTAAAAGCGTACGTATTAATAAATTGGTCGATGCGATTGAAAACAAGCATGACCTCAGATTAATAGAAATGCCAAATTATTAATAAAATGTATGGTATGGTCATAGCGAATTAAATGAGTATCCAATAATTAATAATGGCCATTACGTCGAGACGATATTAGGTTCGGTCTACTTTGTTTTTATTTTAACAATTTATTAGATAAAAATATGATAATTAAAAGAATTCAGTATTTTCTGTCTTTTAAGGGGTTAGGTGTAGTCAGAGACATGAAAAAATGACAATTTTAAATATTTTTTTTTGCCAGTCAATTATTTTATTTTATAAAAGTTAAAACATAGCATCATTAAATACGGTTTCGACTTGACTTGACAGAAATTTTAGAAAAAAAAAAAAAATACGTGTGACACTCTGGGACTGCCGCGGTAAAGCTATTGCATAGCATTTTTTATCAACTTATGCAATTATAATTATTTATTTTATTTATGCAGTTTTTTTTTTCTTTGATATTAATTCAAGTTTTTTCTTTGATATTAATTCAAGTTACACTTTTTGAGCGCGGTGACCGATAAGAAAAAAAAATTTTTCTTTTACTGAATAAATGAGAAGTTAATATTCTTTAAAATATTTTTATTATCTTACAATACATGTAGGTTATTCAGGAATTTTTATCATTGAAACTATAGGTTTATGGTAACTGAAATAAGAAACATAAGTTTGAGACTTGATATCCTCTAAATATCTGGAAAATACCGCGTCAATGGTGGTCCCATATTTTGTTATGGATTCTTGTGGATCATTATTCATTTTCAAATTCAATTTTTCCGAAATTGTGTCTAAAAGAGATATAATCAGTTATGAGCAGTTAGTAGCTAGTCTACACGCATACGTCTAGACGCATGCATACAAACACCCTGCCGAACTGGAAACGACGTTAGACGATGCACGGCTTTTAACGCCGCATCGCTGCGCCGATCGGAGTGGGGGGTGTTAGGTTTATTTTCGTTACGGAATTTCTTTTTCGATTTTCTTTTATTGAATAAATGAGAAGTTAATATTGTTTAAAATATTTTTATTATCTAGTGGGTGGGGGGGTGTTACGGAATTTCTTGATTCGGTCGCCGCGTTCAAAGCCCGCGATAAAAGCTATGCAATAGCTTAAAAAATAATAATTTTAAAAGTAATGGCTGTTTGTGTTGATCCAGTTCCAACCGAAGCTCCTTGCGATGACCATTACTTATCCTTGGGAGATTAATCTAAAATCAATCGGACAATAAAAATTATTTTTATTAATAGATAATCTAGTGCCTGATCGATTTTTTCTAATAACAAAATGGCGGCATCAGGAAAATGTTTTCCAGATTTTCGGGAAAAAACAACAGTTAATTGTTTATAAAAAATCGAAATAAAAAAAAAATTCTTCGATCAGGCACTAGATTATCTATTAATAAAAATATTTTTTTTTGTTCGATTGATTTTAGATGAATCTCCAAGGATAAGTGAAGGTAATCGCAAGGAGCTTCGGTTGGAACTGGATCAACACAAACAGCCATTACTTTTAAAATTATTATTTTCTAAAATTTCTGTCAAGTCGAAACCTTATTTAATGATGCTATGTTTTTACTTTTATAAAATAAAATAATTTACCAGCAAAAAAAATTATTTAAAATTGTCATTTTTTCATGTCTCTAAAGTTGCGCTTCAATGGATTTTTGCTTTTTTTGTCCGCAATAACGATGAATGACATTTTAAAGGTCCCTTTCAAATAGGGCACCAAATTGTGCATAGTACTAAAAAATCCGCCAGAGGTCGCTAAAAAATGAGGTACTATAGATGAAAACAAATAATAACGGCGAACTGACAAAAATTTAGTTAATTTTAGCTTTCTCAAGTGAAAAATACGACTGTATCCAATTTTTTCAACAATAATGGTAATTTATTAACGTCTACTAATCGTACTCTATGTAACAAACAAAATAAAAAGTGAAAACAATGAGAAGAAAAATACAACCAAATCTATAAAATATCCCATATTTTATCAAAACAAATTGTGAGACAACAATAATTAAATAAGGAAAATGATGTATTTTTTCCTACAAAATTGTAAATATTGTTGAAATGTTAGGTAATTTGACATTTTAAGGTTATGTTTATAGAAGAGTAGGTATTAATTTGATAACTCGCACATTTTAGATAATAATTAATAAACACATTTCAAAGATAAACGCTTATTTGGTTACAAATCCTAAATCAATTCGCATGGACGGATCTCCTAAGTGCAATAAAATGTTGTTCTTATAAAACAAACATCTGTATCTGTAACGTGTGGAGGGTGGGTTACCCCCATGGCACTTAGGCCTCATTAGGCCCATTGTGCATCCTACAAAACAAACATTATTTATATGATAAAAAGGGTAGGTACAAAAATGTTAATCTGTAAACCTTAATTACCTGTGCACTTTTTATTATAGTTAGCTTTACTTCAATTGTTTACAAAATAAATCAAAGGTTGTAGGTGTGTACATACTGATGGATAAAGAAATTTTATTAGCGTTCGCCAAGAGCTTGCGAGTGTTGGGATATTATCGGGACATTATCAATGTAAAAAACAACAAATTATTATCAATCATTCCATTATTCTTGTTTACATTTATGATATCCCGATGATGTCTTAACAGCCGAATCAAAAGTGCTAATGCCAAATTGTTGTCCTATCTTCTGAAATGCTTTCAAGCATATGCTTAGATTAATAGATTGAAACAACGATAGTCTTCGTCTATATCTTTAATGGTTAAAATAGTAAAGTTGTTTCGGGATATATTGCGCCACGGCAAGCGTCGCCTCCAATTCTTCTTCGAACCTCGTGTGTTGTTTCCCACTCCGATGCATTGTGGGTGGAGGATGTCGCAATATTTTACGAAACTACTCTACATCATTTACTAAGGACATTTGGCGGATTTTTTAGAACTATGCTTCTTTTAGATACATACTTTTTATTTTTATATACACCTATAATAACTGTCATGCTCCGTGAAATTTAGTATAATAACTTGTCAAATGATTGACCAATCATCTAATGGCCAGATCTTGAAGTTGGATACATGTTGATGTTAAAACATAAACTATTAATGCTTTATCTAGCTCTTATAATGATCAAAGGGTACCTCACTTTTTAACGATCTCTGGTGGATTTTTTGAAATTACTTATTTTTTGGTGCCATTTTTTGTTTTTATATGAAATTTGAGGGAAGTTAAAACACCTACAATAATAATATGCTTAATATGGTTTCAATTGTAAATTTCAGGTTTATTTTATTTATATTTTATTTTCAGATCGACGATGTTCTTACATCGTTATTGTACTTTTCAACGAAACGAACCTTGCTCATTACCGGCCATAGTTGAAATGGTAGCAGCTTTTATGAACAAAAAACCCGAAGAAGTTGCTTTGGCCACTTCATTTAACGCAATGAAGTTATTTGGGTTATCTTGATTTTTATATTGCTAACCAATATAAAAAAGTGTTGTTCTAATGTGAAATACGTATTGCTGTTGTTTTTTGTATTCAGCCCTATTTCAAAATTACTTTTTCAATAACTATTGGAGTGTTTCTGAATTATCGCAGAGTAGATTTTATATAAATTGAGAAAAACTATTGGTTTCTTTGAAAATATAAGAACTATTTGAAATTTGTAGAGGACGTTAAAATAAGTACATAAGCATATATCTATATCACAATAAGCAACAAATTTGACAAAAGAATGTCCTTTGCTTAAAATTAAAAAGCATAATATTTCTTAGAGTCGATTTTCGCCGATTCCAAACAAAACTAATGTTACCATAGCAACAGTACAACTGTCATGGCAACATGTACAAAGCACAAAATGCGGGTACATTGAGTTGAATATCCGAAGCTAGCGTAAAACGTATTGTAACCTTCGACCAACATGACTGCTTCAAATTTTTTGACAACTATGACAATCCAAACTTTTTTACTTGGTTTGGAATCTGTGACATTTGCTCTTTTCAAATGATTCTTATACTTTTAAGAGAAACCAGCACTGAGAGTTTTCAAAAACACACTCTGAATGTAATTTATTATTTTTCGTTAATTTCACAATAATTCTGTTTACAGAAAAATAGTTATATCTTGCGTTAATTGGAAACATATAAAAATTAACTTTAATAAATTATTAAATTAGGTATGAAGACATGTCTTAATCGATTAAATTATTATATTATTGATTATTAATTAGATTAGAACTAAGTGAGAATATTCTTAAATTCATTATACACCGTATTTTTTAATTACATATTTGAACTTACCTCGAATGCACAAAAATATTAGGTAATTTTTAAAAATACCTACTTGAAAGTTGATTTTTAAATAGAATTTTGAAGTAAGTTACTTAGAACTGATTTATTTAAATTAAATAGACCATTATCCCATGTTTAGTTAAATACCAATAGCTCCCTAGTGGGTCTGTTATTGACAATGAGGCCTATGCGTTTTGATTTTGATCTAAAGACGAAATTTCGAATAGTTATTGTATTCGTTAGCAACAAATATTTGATTACTAAAGACACGTTGCATTTTTTGTTTGTTTTTATATTCGTTTAGAATGACAAACCTGTTACAATTTGAGGTAAGTTAAATTTTACTGTTTATGCGAAATGCTATCGGAAAAACTTTATATGCCGTTTTGTTCGTTTTTAGACACAGCGAAGCGTCGAAAAAAGGTACATGTATTTCAGAAACCTCCTGTATATCGCTATCGAGATAATAAAATATGTTTCGAGGTGAAATAGCACATGTGTGTGAATGAATTTAAGAACGACCTTTATAGTCAATTTGAGTCATATCACTTGTTCAGTTTCCAGAAGTAAAAACAGAAAAAACAATACAGGGTAAGTCATAACTATTGGGACACAGCGTAAGGGACGGTTGTTTAGACCAAAATATGATGATTGGACCAAACATGTAGCGGAATAAGATACAGAGTATTAAAGATAAAAAAAAAAATTGGCCACATATTCATAAATCGTTATCTAATTTGGCACAGGTATAATTGTAGACAGGTAATATTATTTAACCTATTATTTTACATTTTGAAGTGTCACGTATACGATTCCTGATAATGAAATTGGGTCATACCTTTTTTTTAACGAAACTTTTTAGTAATTTTGATTAGATAATGATATAAACCTAATTTTTGTGTTAAACTTAATAATTTTAACCGTTTTCGAGAAAAACGCAATTGAATACTTCATATGTCTCTGAAAGAGTTTTCAAATGAGAAACAGTAGACAAAGTTGTAACTCTGAATAATAAACAAAATAATTTAATAAAAATAAATTCAAAGTTAACATTTTACGTGGTATCCTCCGACTTCTGCGCCTTTTTGTAATTTGTTTTGATGAAAGACTTTCTGAAAAAAGATTAACCACATGTTGTAATTTTTCACAGAGTTCATTTCGTAAGGGAATTTCATTGGCAAATACTAAGGACTTCATATGTTCCCAAAATTAAAAAACCCAGTGGGTTGTAATTAGAATTTTTGAAATATATGAAATCCCTTTGCGAGGCTCTAAAATGTTCAATTGAGTTTTTCTCAAAAATGGTTTAAATTATCAAGTTTAAACATTTTACATGCCACGTCTCCTTTATGGTGCCGTTTTAATCGGATCAATAGCAACTGAGATATACACTTCAGGTCCTTTTGACATTTTCATTGCGCCTGATTTTTTTCTTTAATGTTTACCTATACTCGTTCTCGTAAACTATGTCGAGTCGCAAACCACTTATCCACGTTTCAATGCTGAACACTGACAGGTGGCGTCATCTAGCGGTGACTTTTGGAAATAGTAGAGTCATGGCCCTGTAACTCGTCTACTATGCATTTCAGTCAAATAAAAGCACGTGGTGTTTCAAAACAGTAATTTCGATGCAGTAACAGATAAACAAAAAATAAAATGTAAAGAAAACCAAATCTAATTTGTCTTTAATTGCAATAACTTGCAATAGCTAATATACCCACAGGGTGTTTGGAATAAAAAAAAATTTAACACCCTTATAATACCAAATTTTTTTTTTATTCAAGACAACTAATGCAGTGACAATCTTAAGAAAACCTGAGGGCAAGTTTTGGTTGTGCGTTAAATAAGTTACGCATTGTATTTGAGCTTTATCTTTTATCCATAGCAACATTTTATTAAGGCAACTTCATATTTTGGTCCGAATAACCTGCGTTTACTCTATGTTCAATTAGACTCGCCCTGTATATTGCTTTAAAAATTAAATAATAGACCGTTATAATGGTGAGTTCAATTAAAAAAAGTGTTATTTTTGTTTTTTCTTGAAACTTCTGAAATAAAATATTTTTTTTTTTGACAAATGAAATGTGACTGGAATAAGGCTGATTAGTTGTTAATTATAGAAACTAGTAAATTGTTGCCATTTATATTTTTCTTGCTGATATTTTAAGATTATATTTATACAATAGATATATTTTTATTACTGTAATTGAAACGCTTTAAAGTTCTATTATTGTGTATATGTGCATGTGTCAAATAGCTCCTTATTTTTATATTTTTATGACTTTCGAGATATTTATTTAGTAATAGATGTATATAATATATTATTTTGATATCCCAAGTGACCTTTTGTAACTATGTGCTCTTTATCAACGTTAGTTGTAATTAATTTTAATATTCCGTCTAAAGTCAAACTTGCCTCGTGTGGATAGTGATATTAAAGGTGCAATTATCAAAATTATTTTTTTAATGTTTTTGTTTACCATATTTTTGGTTCACCAACCAATCAATATTTCTAGTGTGACAACATACATCATTGGCCGTGTTGACAGTCGTCAAACATGTTGAAATGATAAACTGCCAACTATTTCACTGCTATTCGAATCGTGATGGATAATCATTAAAGCGCAAATAGAGTATGCTTCAAAATCATAAAGTTGACATTGAACCTTTGTCAATTCTGTTTTTCTAGCATTTTGTTTTCTCGATTTTAATTTAAAGAAATAGATAATCAATATGAAAACAGTAATTGTTAATTACATATGCGTATGATTGAAGGAAAACAAATCAAGTTTGAAATTTGAAGTGAAGAAAAAAGCGTGAACAAACACGATCGTTCAGCGTCAGCTCAACCGATTATGAATCGTAATTCTATGATTCTTAAAACACGTTTATTTACGACGTGAACACGACCATTGAAACAAATTAAACCGCGCACACTATTTTTGCCTGAGATTTAACATAGTACTCCCTCATTGTTTAATATCTGCACTAACCTAAACTAGGATTTGTCTTATGTGTACGATCGCATCATAATTTTGAAGACGAATATAACTTGGTAGAAACCTCTCTCATTTTCAAAGAAATATAAATAGAATATATATTCAATTTTACAAGGTCACCTTTCGATAAAATTTTTAGTAAAATATTTTTAAAAGGGTAATTTTTACATTCATTGAATTTTTTTTACATTAATTGCAATTTCTATACCAATTTTAACTTTGTTTTACATACCACTTGTGCCTTAAAAGTATGTACAATAAAATAAAAACATATTAAATAAGTATTTTTATTTTATCGTCTCCAATCACCCAAAACAAAACTTGAATATGTGCTCTAAAAGAATATCGGATGCTTTTGTGATAGTCAGTTTTGGACAACTTGGAAACTCACGAAAACGGTACTGTAGCAATCGTTGGTAAATCTACAATATACAGTTTTTTTTTCTGTCTGGCATTGAATGTATTTGGCCAGAAAAAGCAACAACAGAGTTCTGCCCCTAGTGATGGGACTTTTTGGATTAGTCCGACGGACATGTCCGAAAAAGTAGTGAAAAGTAATGAAAAGTTACAATGAAAAGTAGTCCCATAGAAGACACACAGTTAAATCTCCATCCTGGATGTTTTTTCAAAAACACTTTGGGAACAATATTTGCATATTTTCGTTTAGGCAAATCATTTGTAAAATACTTCCAACCTTTGGATTTTTTGGTAATTTTTTTCTCGAGTTTATTAATAGCGGATTCGACTGGCTGCATTAATGCGCATTTAGTTCGACTTTTTTAAGTGGTGTTTGTTCGACTGGCAGAACCTTATTAATTAAAAGTCAATTATTGTATTCGACTGAAATTGCTCGGTACCCAGGCATAGTGAAATTTTTGTTCAACTGGCAGGCACTCTTGCTCAAAGTTCGAATGTTTTGAAACTGTACTTTTTTTCAGTGCCAGTGTTATTTTGGAGGTTAGGATTTATTTAATATTTTTAACTATATTACCATTTTTGAAATTAATAGAGATTTAATTTTTGGTTTGGCAACTATAAATAAATATCGTTAAAAATTTGTTAGAAATCTGAAATGTTAAGTGCTAACTGTGCCAGTCGTATAGCGATAAAGATGCGCTACACCATTGTCGAACTCTAGCTCGTGCTTTGCTTGTGCACTGCTAGATATGAATTTGAGTTATAAAAATGCTGCCCAAAATCAATTCAGAACTGAAAGGGCTTTGTCGTCGAGTAAGAGCATTTGAGTTGAATCCGCTATAAGATAGGTATGAAACGAAAATTCGAAAACATCGGTAAATATTTGTCGTTTCTTCTTTTTTAAACAAAATTTTACATTTGTAAGAAATTCAGACGAATTAGTTAATTTAATTTCGCAATATAATAATATAATAATAATGCGCAATACACACTTTTCCATTTTTTTGAAAAGTGTGTTTGGACTAGTCCGTGGACTTCTCAAAGCGACCCAACACTACTAGCCCCACGTCGAATCGGTTTCTTCATTATTAATTTCTGAATAGCATAATATCAGACAGCTTTGGAAAATCAAAAAGAAATTATAATTAATAGTAGATGACCACGATACACAGACTAACGGTATGTTCCTGCACATGCAGCTGACTGACGGTGACGTCACGTGGGACATAGAATTATTAGCATTAAATGGGAGATACTGTTTGAAATTCGATATTTCGCCAATTTTAGATTTTATTTAGTTACTTAAGCTTCATTGGTTATTTTGTAATATATTCGTTTACAAATATGAAGGTTAAGGTGGGTCGAAACAGGCCTATTTTTTTTCTTTTCTTTTTTTTTAATAAACACTGAAAGTCATGATGTCTTGAGGTATTCTTAAAAAAATTAGAGTTTTTAACAAATATTAACCGGGCCCTTTTAAAATCCAATTTATTTTTTTTAATTTTGTGGCGCTACCTAAAAAAAGTTTACTTAAGGGCTTTTCAATAGTGTAAAAAAACTGGACCAAAATATATCATTTTTAACCAGCCCCACGGGCCCTACCGCAGAAATATGTTTTTCTTTCACTTTTGTGCAAATTTTTGCTTGTCTTAGTGATTTATAATTATAGTGGAATTATATATCGCTAAATCAACCCAGAACTCACCTCGCGGAGGAATTTGCACCTAGAGTTCCTCCCATTTGGAGACCCTCCCGCCCTTTTTTTATAGCAATTTAGGTTTCATTTCGCTTTTCAAAATATTGCGATTTGTTATCAAATGCTGGTAAATTTTTTCGCCCCTCTAATTTTAATCTAATATATCCCATTTCTGGATGACTCACCGCAAACCTTAGTAGAAGCTTCAGTTACTAATTTTACAGTGTTCCACCGCTAGTGTGTGACATGGAAATTTTTCAAAATTTAGGGCTTCTTTTCCGGTCACAATATCATCTAACGTTTCATTTGTTATATTAAATGTTAATTTCGGTTCGGTGATCCTAGTTTTCTGCCAATCTATCAATTCTATGTAATCGTCAGCATCTAAATTTAAAAAAGGTACCCTAAAAACTTTGACCATTTTATTAGTTTGCATCCTACATTTTTTAATTCTTCTTGCAGCTAATTCTCTAATGTATGGACGTGGGTCGCTTAGCATTGCCAGAAGTAGGTTCTCGGGGTGTGCAAAATATGCATTGTCGGCAAATACTTTGTTAGTTATATGTTTAACGTTATCTGGGAATCCTCTTAAAGCATTAATAGCTTTCCACAGGTGTCTCGCTCCATCGTAAATATATGGTTTTGTCTTGACAGTTTTTTAAGAGTCCCAATTGGTCCCGAAAAGCTGTAAGGTCCTTTGGTATCTCCATATAGACTTTGTAATAAGTGCCTCAAAGGTAGCTCACTGGCATGAAGCAGACAAATGCACCATTGAAGGAGCCTTTTAATGTGATTTTCAATTAATCGAATGATACCTCCCTTCAACCCAGTATTTACATTTGTACCGTCACAACCTATCACGGTTAAATCACTGATATCTGTATGATACTTGTTGAACCATTGAAGAAGTTCATCCTTTATATTTGCTGCGGTAGCAGAGCCCTTTATAAATACATTGGAAAAGTAAATATTACCAGGTTCTTTAATAATTGTAATGTGTTCTTC